TTCTCCGGAGTATTTATCTCCGAAGTTCGACAGTAACCCGGGTGGGGAGTTCCACTGAACCCGAACAATAGTCTCGTGCCTACAGACGCTTGGTGAATTTTATACTTTAAATCCGGAGCTTACTTGGATCGATATGCGATGGCGGAGTTATCTAGTTTCGACGAGTCCGGCCTATTGGCAAAGCTAGGATTGATTGTAGATGCTAAGTCCGACGCGAAGGGACTCCGAGGGTCGCTGAGACGATAATTCTGGTACGCTGAGGGGGTGAAGTACAAAACTTGGATTTTCCACTACGCTCTATACATTTTTATGCTATTGGAATGGTTTTGCGTCCGCCCGGAGTTAAATAACAAATATGCTCCGCATCCCACACAATTACTCAGCCTTTGCCCACCGCTATACCATGTCCCATACGATCCTGCCGTGTTTCCACATGCCCGTCCTAGGTCCTAGAGGTAGCCTCGACGCGTCAATGCTCGCTTGAAGTGCCTCATCACACGGTACTGCAGGCTGATCACGTGCGGATTAGCTCCGGCCGCTTGCTGACTGATACGTTCCGTCCGGCCGTCGATTTACGTCCGCTGACTCGGTCGCTTTGACGGAAACGAAGGGGAGTGATGACTGGGGAGTGGTAATACCAATGACTCACTGCGACGCGGGCCTCCGCCGTTCCCAGAGATAATTAGTCACAAAGATATTCTTCCGGGTGACTTCGGAGCGTCTGGCAGCGGAGCTAAATCATTTCGGTGATCTGCGCCTGCCTTGAGGACGTTAGAAGGTCCGGAATTAAATCCAGAACCCTTCGTCGGTTACTTGTCGCGTAAGAGGTTCGACAGGTGGTGTCGAATAAACTTTGGAGGGGATGTAGGGTGTGTCAAATTCGCAATTTCGGTGGTCAGAAGATCGCTGGGGCTTATCAGCGTTACTAGCAGTATAGGGGGAATGCGCAACGGCGTCGGATGTGGATTAGTTTCATTGACATTGGCGCGCACGTCAATGCTCCCTATCTCAATTGTAGAGTTTGTCTTAATATTGAATGCACCTCTTGACTTGCAACGTTGATTGTGCAACGACTTCTCGCATAGCTCCCTCAAATGAACAGAATAATTGATATTAAATGGGTTGGTACAATAAGCTCAGAAGGAACCGATTTTTTCCGTGTATTTTTAGGAATATTCATCGCTTAACATTCGTCGACATCGCCGACAACAGCGTCGACAACGCGTCGGGCAACGTCGAGCACAGCGACAACAGGGGTACGGCAGTATCCGGGACGTTCCCACGGCCCGTTGCCCGTTGCTGGATTCGAACTCACGGCGTGCCCTCAGCCAAACGCAAGTGCGAAGTGCAAATGCAAAATAGACCTGACACTCCTGGTCAACCGTACTCGGGGACTTGAAATTGCTTGTCAGACGTGGTCCGACTGTAAATGATTCTCAAAAAGTGGGCCCATCGATCTGCAAATGGCTGTATCGAATTTACATCAGGATCACTCGGTGCTCTGTGTGACCCATGCTCATTACAACTGTTCAAGATGCATATATATGCCTGAAGGCTCATTCAATGGTTGGTGCCATAAATTGTATGGGGAAGCTAATAAGGAGCGATATCCATATTGGCATATGATATGTTGTGGCTCGAGATACGCTATACAGGCGGTTTAATCTGTGAGCTATATCAGGAAAGGCGGTAGATGGTAAGGAGATCAGTGTCAAGACAACTTTGATATTCCGTATACTCGTGACAGACTTGAGCATGCCCGACGGTGACCGCGAGATTACAGCCGTTTGCAGATCGATAGGCCGTCACGTCAGAAAGTCACATATGGTCGGAGTGTGTCGGACATGGTGCCACGGATGTCCCAGAAATTAAACGAAGTCCAAGTGGTCTGATATTGGGGTCTTGGGGACTTGAATTTCCTTCTCCGACATGGTCCGACTGTAAATGATTTTCGAGAAATGGGCCCATCGAACTGCAAACGGCTGTAGTGACTTGTTCGCTGATGAGCAGAATTCCGAGTCAGCTTTTTGTTCCTAAAAGGAGTTGAGGAAGGGCAACGAGTCAACTGAGGTCAATCGATCCTTCTCGCCTGGTCCGTCCAGCCCGAGAATTTGATCGTGGTAAGGAAATGCGACCCGGCCCTGGCGGGATTGCCCTATTTGGAAATTTCCGCCTGTCGCGCCCCTTCACACCTCGCGCTGGTCTCGCTCATGACTCCTAAGAGCGCCGAGTCCCGAGGCAATATACCGGATTTTATGCGACCAGCGTATAAATTGGTCTTCTACGGTGAATTTCTTTCGGTACGATTGCCATGCCTCAGACCGCAGAGGCAGAGGCATTCTTGAAGCGCATTGCTGATTTACCTGCTGGCCCCGGAACGTCCCTCGACGATGCTTTAAAGCCATCCATAGAAGACGAAGCCGAGTTGCGTCGTCTTTTCGCCACTGATAAGGGGCACCCGCGGCTCGAGGATCCATTCGTCGGTCTTGTCGACGTTTTCGCAGCGCCGGCCGACATCAGGACCACAAGAGCTCGAGTCATCGCTAACGGTGATGATCTCAAAGCTCACCATGTTATGCCGCTGCCAGAATTTGCCAGACGCAAGGAAGGCGAGCCCGCTATGGTGACTACACTTGATGAGTTCAAGAAGAACTGGGCGATTTTCAGCGAGAACTCGCTGTCGCAGCTCACAGATTGGAGCAACGTAGTCGCCGCAGGAGGTTCTGTTCAAGCCTGTCTCGCCCCTCTGCCAGACGCAGCCAAGGCGTCCAAGAGAGCCATGAGGAAGTGGTATCACTCCCAAGCGTACCCAACTTCTGATGTCGACCTCTTTCTGTGGGGCCTTACGTCTGAGCAGGTAGTTGTATTACTTTACCCGACGTGAGCTATGCGCTGAGTATTGGTTGAATTCGGAGGCTGAGCTCAAGATCAAGTCGATCTACGAGGCAGTCCGTGATTCCGTGCCCTGGGATGTAACGTGTGTTCGAACGAAGCACGCCGTTTCCATCTACTGTAAGCCTGAACTATATTCCAAGGCAGTCCTTAACGAACGCATTGGTAGCACAATACCCGTATCGCTCGGTGCAAGTGGTCTTGCGTTTGTATAGGTCACCCGCGGAAATCTTGGCAGGCTTCGATGTCGATGCGCCATGCTGCGCTTACGATGGCAAGTGCTAATCAGGATTCGTGCTTTCACCTTGTCCTCATCGTCCCATAGGCGAGCGAGTATTGGCGAATCCGCGCGCCATCGTCGCCATGATGCGACAGTGTAATACTATCGACGCCTCGAGACGGTCACCGTCGTACGAAGTTCGTCTCGCAAAGTACTTCTCCAGAGGTTTCGAGGTCTACGTGCCCGAGCTACGCCGCGATGAAATTGATCCGACGGTAGATTTGATATCCCTTAAGGGGTTCGGTATCTGAACTTTTGTCTTCCACAGATCTACGAGAGGTCTATTGTCTATATCGAGGGACTCGCTAGGCTCCTGGTTCTCGAAAGGCTAGCAGATCCTGAGACCCGCGAGGTCTTCTTGTCGTCTCGCCGTATCCTGCGCGGACGCCAGATGACTTCGCGTCGAATGAAAAAGAAGCCGCGAAAGTACAAAGGCGACTTGAAGAACACTGGCGGTCTTGGTGTTCTTGAGATGAGCGACTACGACGTCGCCTCCTTGCATATTCCTTACGGTCCGGGGTGGGACGCTAGGAGGATTGAGAAACTCGTGTATCAGACGGTACGCCGGACTATGACTGGGCTTATTCCGGAACTCTGACCCCAAATGGTGGCTTAGGACCTTGGCATGAACTGTGCGTACCAAAATGCGCTGTTGCCATCTAAGGCCAATCTTAAGCTAAATCCTGTGTGCAGCTACCTTCAATCCGAAGAATAAGGGTAGGCGTCTCCACCGGCATCCTGCATTCTTCGGGACGATAGAGGAGTGCATTGAGGATTGCTGCGAAGTTAGACAGTCCACTAATTCATAGCCGTGATACTGACGCGCACCACAGCATTGTCCTGAACCCACAAGTGACGAGGAGAAGAAGTTACAAGCGGACGAGGACAAACTGTACATCCGTGGTCGGATCGAGTGAGAATTTATCGTTCCCGCTATTCCAGCTAATCTCAATCTTCATCACAGATTTATACAGGAAAACCCAGGCCGACAAAGTATTTCTGGTAGCTTCAACCCTATTGACGTCGGCGAGTGGAGTGCACAAGCCTATATCGGGCCCTCAGAACAGTTCTTTATGGCCATTGGCGCGCACGACGCGGCCAAGGTCCGTGCCATGATCCAGGAAGGCGTCGATGTCAATAGACGAGACCATGTCGGGAGAACCCCGCTGCAGCTCGCCATCTTCAGCAGAGCATCTGAGGTCGCCACGAATTTAATTGATGCTGGGGCAAGGATTACAGCCCGCCTGGCGGATGGCCGGACGGCTTTGCATCTCGTCGCTCAGACCAACCAGCTACATATCCTGCAAAAGTTACTAGAGAAGAGCGCTCTCAACACCGAGATAGCCGAACAAGAGAAACAAGACGATGAGAAGCAGGCAGAAGACTCACAGGAGGATGCGGAGGATACGGACGAAAGTTCCGATGAATCGGAAGAGGACAGCAGCGAAGATGACTGGGACTCGGAATCGTCCAGTGGCGAAGCAAAAACCGGAGCTTCTCCAGCAGGCGATGGTGAAATACCCGAAGACCATGAAAAGACCCCGGATATATTAGATATCAACGTCGCGGACTGGGACTACACATGGCCGGCGCTGTTCTACGCGGTTCTGTCAGGCTCGCTGCCCGTTCTAGATGCACTACTGACAGCAGGCGCAGAAGCAAAGGCGTTCACCGGAGGATACGACGCGCTTACCATCACTTCGTATCACGACGATAATGATACAGCAATGAAATTGGCCGAACGACTATTCACGGCAGGAGCTACCTCGTCAATGGCTGATTCCACATTTCTTCCTTTCGTTCCTTCCTTCCACCGCGTGTTGAATGCCGATAGACCCCTTCTCGTTTGGGCATTCCTACGTGGGGACCCGAATGCTAAATCTGTGCTGAATTTTCCGTCCCCAAGTAGCCTAGGCTATCCTGTAGTATCTGCCATAGGAGCTCGAAGTTACAGTACCTTGGCCGTACTACTAGCTTACGGCGCGAAGCTTGAATTGTCCGAGGAGGACGTGCTTAAAGCTTGGGCATCCCTGTGAGTCCATTCATCAGTCTATCGCTGCTGCACTAGCCTGACTAGACCAGACCCAGTCCGCAACGAAGGGGACCGTCCTTCCCCATCGGTCCAATTGAAGTGGCTGTCGCGAGCAGGACTCCAGGTGCCTTGACCCAGCTACTTCTGTCTCTCGGGGTCGATGCCAATCGACGAATCAAGCAGCAGATATATGTCAGCCGTGACAACTTGTCCATCCCTATCTTAGAATGGCTGCGAGCCGCAATTATCAATGTGGATGAGCAAATCCGCGACCTGGAAGCACAAGATCCGACTTCTACATCCAGCGCCTCAGCGTCAACTTGGCACGAAGAGCTCCAGCGCCTGGATGCAAGTATTCGAGCCATACAAGTAGGGACACGACGAAGCGCCGAATTTATCAACAGGTTGAGCGACATTCGATGGTATCTGAAAGAACACGAGGAACTATTGGCCGCTCAGGCGGGCAACTCAAATATAGAAGCGCCGGAAACCTCACGTCTACAAACACTAGCCCTTTTAAACGATAACCTTTTCGGCGCCGGGCGTCGATCTAAGCCGTCCCAGGAGACATCAGGCTATTTCAAGGTTCAGGGAGATAAGGTATGGATGCACTCATCCGTGCCGATGCACGAGAAGGCTGCCTACGATGCATTGTACGAAGCGTGTTATCGAGGAGACAACAAGGTCGTCCGAGAGATGTGCCTACCACAAGCCGTGAGGCCTGATAACCTTCCCCTGCAAATCACAGTCTGGAAATATGTGGGAAGCAACATGTATAGAGGATGGACTCCTCTTGCTGTGGCTGTGCTCGCTCGCCGATGGGACACGGCTCGTCTGATCATGGCCATAGCAGTAGCACAATACAAGTCGCCTGAAGAGAAGCAGGCTCCATTCGAATTTAGGGGCATCAATCTTGGTAAGTTCTGTTCTGTCTTACCAGACTCAGGACTCGCTGAACATAATCGATAGGCGATGATTCCGACTCCGAGTCAGAGGAATCTTACCTCTCGGAGGAAGACGATGCCAGTCAGGAAGAGCTGCAAGTCACTGATGTGACCAAGCTCCCTTCAGCTGTACGCACTGAAACTCCGCCGAAGGTACTACTACAAGAAGTGCAGCTGGAATGGCCTAAGAATGACGGCAAGACAATTTCTTATGTCACGCCTATCATCAAAGCCATTATGGAAGACGACCTTGAAGCTTTCGTCAACATCTGCGACTTGTATCACAGTGGGCCGGAAAGGATTCCGTTCGCAAGAAACGACTTTATCAACCTGCTCTCCTACGATCGGCCTGAAATGCTCGACGAGGTCGTTCGTCGCACCGGGTTCGGAATCCAATTACCAGAGGAATCAGAGGAGACCGAATCGAGGGGTGAGTCGGGCGGTGTTCCGAAACCCATTCTGTATCTAGGCCTCAACGTGCACGGCAAGAAGAGACGTGACTTGGCGCAGAAGGTCGACCCGAACGCTCAGCAAGGTTACCCTGCGGATACGGTCCCGCTGGTGTGGAAAGCGGCTCACACAGGTGCCATCCAGATCCTACAATACTTGAAAGGGGAGCGGCCACTAGCTGCATACAGGTACTACGCCGCCACCCACAGTGACACGGTCGCACGCGGAATCCGCGAGATGCCCGCCTTCAGTGACTCCCTACCCAGCTTACTAGGCTGGAATTACAACGTCGTAGACGAGTCGCCGTTGACAGCAGCTGTAATAGGAGATGCGGCAGCATCCGTGAAGGAGCTGTTCAAGCTTGCTCCCAAGCTATCTGAAGACGCTCTCAATAAACCGTGAGTAGCATCTCTCGGCGAGGTTGAGGTGACACTGATCTTTCCTGACGATATGCAGTGTCAAGTTCTCTGGTTACACACCGCTTCTCCTTGCAGCAGATCGCGGCGTAAAACCAGAACTGCTTGATTGCTTACTGTCGAAGGGCGCCTCCCCCTTCGAGTGCGACCACCGAGGGTAAGGACTTCACCTGCACAAGTTACACTCAACTAACTCACCCCTGCAGATGGAACATATATCACGTCGCACTATATAAAGGGCACCAGGCCCTTTTCGACCACATGGTTACCAAGTTTCCTCAGGATGTCACGGAGTATCTCATGAATCAACGGTCAAGACAAGGGCAGAACCTGGTCGGTAGCGACACCGTTTCTTGCACAATCACATTCAACTAATGGATGCATTAGCCTTTACATTTCGCAGCTCACCAGCCTTGGGTGGGGCTCGACATCCTGCGACAACTGCTCACAAGGGGTGCTAACGACCAGCTCCTGAAACGCAACACGGAAGGCCTGACCCCACTCCATCTCGCTATTCGCAGCGGTTACCCGCATGTTGCTCGCGTTTTCCTCAACGCTAGTCCTGATGAGGGATTGCATACGGAAGACGGTACGGGCTTGACGCCCTTGGAGATCGCCTCGCAAAAGGCCATTGCCCACTGGACACACCGAATCGTCGCCGGGCCGCCGGAGTTGTCCGCTCACAACGTACCAGACAAACCCGTGCCTGCCGAGCACGACTTCCGGCACCTTGAGCGGGAGGTGCCGCGTTTGCGAAGGGTAGTGGATGAGCTGATACAACAGGGACAGGTGGTAAAGACGACGAAGTTGGGAGTACAATTGCAAGCATTCGTTGAGCGCATGGAGGGTGTCTACCAGGCTGCCCGTATGTCTGAGCAGATGGAGACGGAGGAGGACGAGACGATAAAACCGAACCCCATGAAGACGTTGAGGGTGGTGAAGGAGGCTGTTAACGCTCGGCCTGGCCCTCGTAAGTTGGTGAGGTTGCGGGATGCGCAGATTGCAGTACAGTACAGCCTGGATCGACTCAGCGGAGAGAATAACCGAACGGAACAGCCTGCGGAGGATGGCTTAGAGCAGGAGCAGGACAAAGAAGCGTCTCTAAAGGAGCAGAGTATTTTATGGAACGTATGGCCAGTCCCGGGCCATAGCACCTTTGAAGCCGAGCCGTTGTAGATTAGGCGAACATATTGAATGTAGCGTTGCTGTCTTACGACTGCGTATTTTGGTCAAGTACGACCTCCATCTCGTTTATTCCGTCCCGGTCAGAGGAGGAGGAGAAAACGTTGGCTCCAGCAGCTAAAGATTCAATCAACAAGCCCAGGCGTGAAGTAGTCATATTAGGCTCCTGAGTAGGGCGTGTTAGCATCAACGTTGGGTGAAATAATGGAGGGCGTCCACCTTGCGGATCACTTCCAAGTCATCCTTGAAGCCATCGGCTATTGAGGCCATCCAGAATTTCCTAAACTTTTCCTTCAGGGCCTGTTCATCTAGTGACTCCTGTCCAGGTACAGCGCCCGGTGGGAAGGAAGGTATCGTCGTAGGAGGCGGGGAGATAGACGGCGACCTTCGTGAAACTACCTTTCTTGACGTACGCCGCTCAGATACGTCCATGGGCTCTACCACGTTGTCATTAGACCTCGCTAGCTGTGTCTCAGACTCGGATTCAGATTGTGAATCAGAACTTGAAGATGAATCTTCCGTTTCGGACGCCTCTTTCGCGGGTGCTGGGGTTCGAACAACAATGCGAGGTGATTCATCGGAAGACGAGCCTGAGTCTGACGACGATGACTCCGACGACGAGGCTACTCGTCTTTTGCGCTTTCTATTGCGTTTTCTGGGCTGTACCGGCTTCGCGGGAGGCATGCTGGAAAACGAAAGGTGGCGGGGGCGGCGAAGAAAAATAAGTGAAAGTTTAAGTCGAATATCTGGATGGAAGTCACGTGCTATTGTGGGTCCAAGGAGGTCCATAATGTCATCTTCCAATTTCATTTGACTTTCTGGTCTCTAAATCCTGATCTCTGCTTCCTACCTCAGCGGCCGACATCGAAGGCTGGCAAGGTTGAAAAAGTATGCGGACGCCGGCCGAGCCCCCACGAAAACGCGCTAAGTTAGACAAGAGTGTCGACCCGACTAAATTCACAGATGGAAAAGACGTATTAAAAGGCCTTTCAGGTCGCAATCAGGACGAGCTAATTCACAGTAACCACAAGTCTTTGCATATTTTATATTGAGCTAAGGATGGGGACTTTATAGACTTAACCAGTCTACGCAATCGATTGACAGTTCGGCGTGATGAGAGCTCAATAGCACCGGATGACGGGCGTTTGGTGCTCGCGAAGAGCTGGCTGGAGCTGTCACCCGGCGCACCAGAGGTGTTCGCGTTATGGGATAGCAGTAAACAGGTGCGTCTACTACACTCGGTGCTGAACTAAGGAATGACAACCAACTAGGCCTCCGTCACTTGCCTGGTTATTTCTCTCCTCGCCAGCGTCCTGACCCTCCTCAACTCCCAATACACGTATCACACCTTTGGCCAGCCGATCATTAGAACGCTGCTTAGCCCCCAGTATACCCAGAGGCTTAACACATACCTCAATGGTGCCCACTCCGAGTCTATACTCGTGACACTGAAACTTTTCAATGTGCTATCGTCATTTGCGGGGGGACGCGAAAAGAAAGCAGTCTTAGAAGCTTTTGCCTGGGAGTCCAAGGTGCGAGTTCACCACAACAGGGCCCTGTATTCTTCGATAACCCGTGCGTCAGTCTTTGCCGAAGCTGCTGAACATGCGACGGAAGGGAAAGGATGTTGAGGGGAATGATGGGCTAGCAAGACCCGATATCCGGACCCTGTATGTTCTGTTCATCCACTCGTTCGTCGATCCCTCCGCCAGCAGCTCCATCAAGTCGACATTCCTGGAACAGTACCGAAACGTCTTCCAGGCCGTCTTCAAAGGACTGATCCAGGATTCGTACTCAGTCATTCGGAGAGTGCTCGAATTATGTTGGACGGGCATCTTTTCAGACTCAAAACTCAAGCGGACGTTGAAGGTCACCCTGTTCAACGAGATCACGTTATCCCATGTTCGTCCCTTTGGGCCTTACTTGATCTTCGTCCTTCCGCTCAATCCGGTTGCAGATCATCAAATTGTACGAGCGTAGAGCACCCGAAGGCTCAGAGCCAGACCAAGTGCCGGCGGATCTGGTGCACCACTTCCTACTGGCTATCTGCGCGCGTCCGGGCGTCGGCGTATGCTTCAAAGATCGTGGGTGGTATCCGCGAGAAAGCGAGGAGGGAGATAACGCGGACGACTCCGAAACGAAGAGTAGCAACCAACGGGTCAGCAAAATATACAACAAGATACTGTTGAATCTGCTGAAGACCCTGAAACCCAACGAGGACCCGCGCCAGCAGGAACTCGCACTGAAGATACTCGCTGCCTGCCCGGAATTGGTCGCTGCGTGAGTGCACTTGATCGCCGTGGCCGTCAAGTGTTCTTTGCTCAACGGTTTTACTAGTTACTGGCCGGCCGCAGCGCTCACCCTTGAGCCTCGTCTTTCCTCGAAATGGATCGCCAACATCTCGTTCTTCGGCTCCGTCATTTCTCTGCCCGTCCCCGTATCCTCCTTCCACCTCCCAAACAGTACGTTATATCAACCGACGCCACCGCCTTTGAACACGATACTCGAGAATATTCTCCCCTCCGTCGGCATAAAATCACATCTCTCCAAGGGCCTGCAGTCCCCTTCTGGGCTCGTCCAGCACTGCGCCGCGCTCGCGTTAGTAAAGTGCCTGACGAAGTACGACAAAGTCATCTCTGCCTTCCAGGCGGTCGAGGAGGCACTACAAGAGAACGCGGAGGGACAGTGGGCGCAGCGGAGGAGGGATGTAGACCGTGAGGTACGGAGACGCGTGCCGGACTTCCAGGTCGTCGTGGCCTTCTCTCAACAGAAATTGCGTGGAGAAGCGAAGACGGGGGAGGCGGGTACGGAGCCCAATCCGGTCAAGCTGGCGCTGCTGTCCGAGGTTGCGCAGCGCTTGATATGGCTATACCAGCGGTGTCTGCCGTCTTTGGTTGCAGAGGTGAGGTTCGACGTTGGGCGGTTGCTGCAATCGTTTATGCCGGTATCTCGAGATAACGAGGAGGCCTCGGATGCTTCAGACGACGAGGAGGTGGAGGCGGCGAATGTTTCAGAGGAGGGTTTCGAAGCTTCAGATGGAACATCGGGTATAGACTCGGCTGACGGTGATTCAGATCCTTCAGGGCACTCGGGACTACAGACCCTCCAACAGCTTCATATTCTCCGGCTACTAAATGAGACGGAGCAGTTTACTTGGACCAATAAACTCGGTGAGCGCACTGATGAGACTCAAAGGATGTGCAATCAATATACCTTCCACAGATTCGACACACAGTTATCTGTACGCCCTGCTCGACACCTACGTCAATAGTGAGATTCCGTCTTTGCACAGAATGATCGAAAACCTGCTGCGCAACGTGCTCTCACAGAGCATCATGTTCCAGGAAAGCCCAGATGAGGTGCACCTCTGGCTTGCTGCTCTGCCGACCACACGGCGAAACCCGGGCACAGAGGCACCGGACGGTGCCCCGCTCACGGACGAAGGCGCAAGTGTCGTGTTATTCCTTGATGATTGCATACAACGCTGTATGAAGGTGCCCTACAAATACTTGGAGGAAATGGACAATCTTCTTTCGCCTTCGAAAGAATCTTCAAGTGGCAATGGCCATATCGTTGGTCTCCTTCTGGCTACCGTTCTGGAGCAGCTCTCTGCCAAGATGGACGCGGAGTTATTGGAACCCTCGGATACTCTGGCGATTACTACTTTCCTGCGGAAGCTGTGCTTCAATATAGCGACAACACTGGAGGAGCCGGAGCTGCTGCTTCCAGTGGCACAACGAATAGACACCATACTGGCCTTGGATCGACTTCCCCCCGACTTCCCTATTATGGGGAAGGCTATCCGTCGTGAAGTATCCATACTCTTCATGGCCCTCCAGCGACTTAAGACGGTGCCCCCTCATGGATCCCATGGACCCGTGGAAGGCAATCTGGATGTAGGGGAGTTCCTCGCTCAGGTCGAGCAGTTGCCTATCCGTAAGTCTCTTACTACATCTCGCCGCATCATGTCTTTTTTTCACTCATCCGACAACAGCTCCTGACCAGCTTCGCCCGGGTGCCGCATATGAGCTGGTTGACTGGCTACGTCTACTTGAAGAGTCCATGTCCTCGGATGACCTACGTATGTTAGTCTCGGCAGTCAAACGACTGCATTCTCCTGCGGTGCGCGATCTCTTCCAGTTCCTCCCGCCGGATGCGGAAGCTTTATGGGACGGTCTGAATTTCCAACCGTGGGTTGAGGAGAATGCTACACAGTGAGTGCGCTCTCTATCTTCGCGTAACATAGCTGATCTGTTTCCAGATTAGATTTCGAGTGGTTGCTGATTCAGATGGCGGATGAACAACTGAAAGAGCCCAGAGCAGCGGAATTACTAACCGAGCTTGCTCGCCCAGACTCACTGCTCGACCTGAAGAGGATAACTTGCACCTTGTTACAGCGCGCAAGATCCTTGGAGAGTGCATCGACGTGCCTCAGTGTAGCTGCACGAGCAATTGAGAAAGGCCGTGCAAAGCTCAATGGGCGGGATTTAAGTGCGTTTAAGGAGTACATGTTCCATGGCTCTGAAGCTTTCCGGAAGCTTTCGCAGTCGACTTCCCTGGCAGAATCTCAGCATCAATGTACGTCTTCAATTATTTTGCAGGAATTCGGCTGACCCTAGCATAGCATTGTGCCGGGTGCTCGAGTTGTTGATCGATTCCAAAATCGAGGAAGACAGAGTACTCGTTACGGATATAGTCGAATATTGGTGCCATTTGCTTCGGGATACCCCGAATCTTCACGAGGTATGTCGGTATAAGCTTGTCCGAAGGCGGTAGCTCAAGTTATGCCAGGCTTCTTCCGCTTCTATCTGGGTGCCGTTTATGAATGAATATTCTCTCCTCTGCATGTTGGATGCTGCGCTGGAAAAGGCCAATGACTTCGAACTGTCCGGCAGCTCTCGTGCCTTCATGGCCGACCTTCTAGACGCGCTCTCCCGTCGTTTATTGTCGAAGGACGTCACTCTTGCTCTGCGGGAACGCCTGCCTCGTCTCCTTTCACTACGGTCCCAAATTGGCTTTGCGACTGTAGATAATGTCCTCTCAGCGCTTGGTGAAGCATCACTTCCTCTCGGATACAGCGGTCGTTTAGTGGTCTCTGACCGGAGCACAAACTCAGGCTGGGCCTTCTCTGCGTCTGTATGCGACGCACGATTTACCAATCGGAAACAAGGGCTCCTCGATGCGTCGACAGCTGCTTCAGTCCTTACTCGCACAGACTGGTCTTCTACAGGAGAAGCGGTTGCATATGATCTGCTGTATCGGATGCCTTCAGATTATAATTGGTTCCTCTCAGTCTTCTCTGATGATATCGTCCGATCCGACTTCTCGTCACAGATATTGAATCTTCTCGACACCTTCCTTGATTCTTCAGCCTGCAATGGATCGACGGTTGTAGTGGATAACCTACTTCCGTGGAAAACTGTCCTTACGAAGCTACTGGATCATGCGCAGCTGGAGAAGCCGACTGTTACTCATGCTCGAGCAATCTTCAATATGCTCGAGCAATGCCAGGACCTGCGAATAGAACTAGCAGCCATACTACAGCGGCACATCTCGTCTTTCCCTATTCAATCAACCCCCGGATATGTTTTGGCTCTGGGGTCGGTACGCATTGCGGAGGTCTCGCCTGAGGCGTCTGCGTCGCTGCTTGAGCGGGCCTTGCAGTGGGCAGTGGACTACTGCTCAGGGGACGTACCAAGCACTGCTGAGATAGATACAGTGTTTATGAAGCTTTGTAAGTCGCGACCTTCGCCTTACATACGCACTGTTTCCCGACCATTGAATTGCTTTTGTTAGCCCACTTGATAAGACATGTCCCGGGCACGAAGTCGCATATTGCCGAACCCGTCATCGCAGCAGCTATCAAACACCGGCTAGATACGTCGAGCATATTAGCGTTTCTTGTGGAGCTGGTGAAAGCGGTTCATCTGAAGGTGCGTCAAATTTGCTCAACATAGTGTCATTCGTCTCAATCGACGAGTTAGCCCGTAGTCGTCAATCGCTACTTGCAAAGCATTCTCCAACATCCACTTTTCTTCCGGCTTTGTCCTTCAACGAGTCAGCCGGAAGGACGATCATCCAGGGAAGCATTAATCAATCTCATAGGCGTCCTTTTCCATTCGCATCCCACGAACACATGCCAAGCCAGCCATATTGAACCTCTTGTACGTGTTTACACGGGAAGCCTATCTATCTCAGACCAGATACTATTCGGCATCTTCCGTCTGTTTGAAGAAACCCGGGAGATGTCTGTATCATCACTTCTGATCAGATGGTCGCCTTTGCACGACACGGTTTCGAGTGGCGCGCTGGATGCCGTGCAAAATCTCGATGCTAACCGGGTCTTTCGGACCTGTCTGTCATGCTCCTCGCGAAGAGCCATATCTAGAACTGAGGATGTCTATGCTGGAGAAGTGCTGTATGACCCGATCTTCTTAGGGCTATTGATCTCGCGCATATTGCTAGATGACCTTCCGGAAGGCGCTTTGGGCTGGGTGCGGTTGCTTCGTACTAATGTTGTCTGCGTTGTGATTCGCGGGCTGTCTTCCCGAGACGCGGAATCGAGACGCTTATCTTTGGGGCAACTGAGTGCTCTATACAAGTCTATAGAGGTATGACTTCATGGCTTGTATTTTACAAGAGACACAGTATTAACTCACATGTTGTAGGCAGCTGATTTCCAAGAAAAGCCTCACGTCATCCACATCTTCAATCTCCTCAGGGGATTACGACTCACCTCTACAGCACCTGAAGTTGCTCATCTTCCTTCTTATGCCACGCTTATCCTCGCTCATGCACTTCGTGCGATATTCTACCCGTCCAACTTCATCTATCCACATACCGCGCGGTTCCTTCTTCAACGTCCTGCTCTCGATATCCACGATGTGCCCTTGTTATACGGCATGCTCTACAGTAGCTCTGATGAGTGGAAGAGAGAGCGGTTGTGGATGATAAAATATCTCGCGGACGGGCTGCAAAGCAGCCAGGACTGGAGAGTATGCAAACGCAGGCATACATGGGATTTGCTCGCTAGCTTATTCCAAAGTTCACCGAAAGACCGTGCGCTGAGAAATGCTATCCTGGAAGTGAGTTCGCTGCCTGCTTGCGTACACGATGTGACGGACTGACGGCATTTGTGGTATCATAGGTCCTTGCGAATGCAACGTCTATCCCAGAGGCCGCTACATCCTTGGTCACCAAAGCAGCTATTCTCCCGTGGATAGAGATGCAGGTGTCAGGTGATACTCGGGACGAGGAGACTGAGGCATTCGTCAAGATTCTGGAGAATATCCTTGTTCGGGCTGATCATAAGAAGGCTGAGCAGTTCACAAAAGGTGCCTGGCGGTCGGCGATTTGCAGGGCCTTGAGCCCTATGTTGGATAAGACGGGTATGTCTGCTTTTTTTCTGAGCACGGTGTTGTACACGACTTAAATTCGTCTCGCAGAATTCTCAGGGGGACTCTTGATGTTCGTCGTGTCTGTCGTGTTGCGACTCAGTCTGTCAACCGAAGGAGCAGCTGTCATCGGACTGTCGTCCCTTCTCGACAAGGCGTTCAGCTGGCTCTTACGGCTCGAGGCGGATATCAGCATCACGCAGTCTTGGAAGTACCCTGATACTCCCTCGCGTCTGCTGCAGCCTCCGCACCGGGCTCAGACATTACATATCGTTCCGGAACGTGACCCAGTGCTTGTATGGGGCGAGTCGGTGGAATGGTTGTGGCGTGTCTCGATGACTTTGCCAAGGAAGTCGCCCAGCTGGGATGGCCTTACAAGCCGATTGTTGGTGTGGAGAGCTATCGTTGGCCCAGAGGTTAGTCCCGTGGGCGAATGGGCACGCCGGGAGGTGGTACGAAATCTATCTACTAGCTGATGTGTATTTGTATCCGATTCAAAAATCGTGCCCTCTCCTCGTGCACTATAGTACAGTGTGTTATCCGGCTCTCATGGGAACATGTGGGGAATGTGTGCGGGTGGCTAGAGCCTGGACTGAATATGTCTTGGATCCGGCGGGTATGTGATCAGCGTTTCGAATAGATGTTTGGCTAGTTCTTCTGGGACTTCTTGGGGTACCTGAGGGGCGATCAAGGGTGAATTGAGGCGTCCATACAAGTGAATGAAGAGTTGCGTACGAGATGGCCTGCGCCCAAGATCGTTCGCCGTGAAGCGAAAGTACGTCCGGAACTCAGTGCGTCCTGCACGGCCTTCGGACTATGAGGCAGGGTTCTGTTAGACTCAGATACTAAACCAAGAATTATGCTCATACATGTAATCCGGAAATTCTCCGAGCATCAGATGGATAGGGAGGCGCCTGCACGCTTCGTCTAAGCACTTCACGGGCTTGGTGGATCCGTCCTTGTCTTCGTACATGGCCTAGAGCTTCGGGTTACGTATGGCACAAGCATAGAGCACCCATGCTACATACTATTTCTTCTTCCCGGGTACAGGATAGCGTGTAGCCATCCCTGCAGGGTCTTAGACCATATTCCTAGAATTTCCGAGGCATGTCGATGGTGAGTGGCATGGCATACAAACTGAGATATGATTGCTCACTATGTATAGCTGCACTACCTTTGGGTGCCAGGCGCGACGGCCCCTGCTCGCGGCTCGCTCCCGGCTCCGCTCAAAAGACCGGATGGCAGAGTCGCGGCTTTCCCAGAGGAACTGCCGACGCCGTGCGGACTGCACCAGGCTGCGTCGCAGTTCAGCGAGATGGTCCATGCCGTGCGGACTCAGCATGGGTTCCACCAGGATGACCGAGGAGAACCTGACAGCGGGCTGTTTGCATTGCAAGATCGTCCTTTGGTCCGAAGCAATGAGCCGAGAAGACTATGAGGATCGAGCGGAGGGACTAACATTGCCACACCCCCTAACGAGTGGCCGATGCCGACCAGATTTCGATGTCGGAAGTCGACTGGCCCCGACGTCAGGAACGCGTGGGCTGCACAGGCGTACTTCTCACAGGTAACTGTAGCGGATACCATCAGTGAGCGTCTAGTAGGATGAGATTAACTAGATTCGACATTACACTGGTTTGAGTACTTCGGGTCTTGCAAGAGCGCCTGGTTCAGTACGGCGGCTACTCCGTGGTTCGGACAGTCGATAGCCCAGGCTTCCCTCACTACTACCTTCTTCTGGTTCGCCAAGAGCTCAAAGAGACATTCCAAAGTCGGCTCCCATGTTTCCTTATGGAAGCTCGTGGAATGGAGGAATACGAGAGTCAATGCCCCAGGACTGCCGATGTTTGATTCGAACTGGGGCAACCAGTAACGCTTCGCGGCGATCTTGAAGGGATAGGTCGAAACCGGGGGAGGCTCGTATCTCACCTCTTCGTGCAGCATGAGGGGCAACGTCGGATCTGGAGTGCTGTCATACTCCACCGAAGCTTCGTTATATTATACGAATCCGCTGCTGTGGATAACGGTCGCACGAAGTCGGAGACTCCGTGATTAGACACAGCAATGGAACGACTCTTCCCGCATAATATTCCAACAAAGGCTTAGACCAGTCCGCACAGAGTCGGTAATACCAAGTGACACAGGAAGCCCGACACTGAGGCTGTATATAATATGAGAGCTGTAAGACGACCGAAGGCTTGAAGAAACACAGCCCAAGCAATCCGAGTCCACCGGTGCCGGCATCGTCACTGAGATTTACACTTTAACCGAGGATCTCCGCAGATCTGCTCACGGCTTGGAGAAGATCTCTAATGATCTACTTGATACACTCACTGTTATACTAACACTGCCGGCATTCATATATCGCCATATATGCCCCCGAAATCCCCATGCAAAGGTTATGCTCACCGCTTTACTTCGTACCTTTGCCATCCCACCTCCTCCAACTTTTCGACTTTTCCCATAACCTCCTGCTCGAGACCGGCAAGGTAATCCTCCATGGCCTTCACAAGATGCGGGATACCCGCACTCAGTATCCGCACCGCCAGCAAACCGGCATTCGTGCCGTTATTAATAGCGACAGTGGCAACGGGGATGCCCCTCTGCAAAAGGAAGCGATAAGTGTGGGCGTCGGCGTGGATGGAAACCGACTGATAGACTAGACATGGACACACACCGGCATCTGGACGATACTATGCAGGGAGTCGACGCCATCAAGGGAGCTACCCTTGACAGGGACGCCGATCACGGGTAACGCCGTCATCGCAGCGACCATCCCGGGCAGATGCGCAGCGCCTCCCGCTCCCGCTATAACGACCCGCAGACCGCGCGAGGCCGCGCTTCGTGCGTATCCGACGAGCCTGTCGGGCGTCCGGTGCGCCGAGACGATCGTAAGTTCGTAGGGGATCTTGAAATGATCCAGGATCCTCGCAGCGGGAAGCATCACGGGCAAGTCAGAGTCCGATCCCATTATCACTCCCACAAGAGGGAATGGATGTGAGTGGCTGGGGACGGGCACAGGAGTGTACTTGTCGATTTCGGCCTGCGGCGATAAGAGGGCTTGTAACAGTGGTCGCAGGCGATCCGCGAGCTCAGCGTCGGAGTCAGCAACGAGCGTGATGTGTCCCATCTTGCGTCCTTTGCGGCATTCAGACTTCCCGTAGAGATGCACCGTCGCGCCCGGTGCTAGATTTGCGGCCTCGATGACAGGGGTAAGGTCGGACATATTCGATGAAAGCCCGATCAGATTCAGCATAGCTGCCGACGGGACTTTGAGGGCAGTAGAGCCCAGAGGCAGAGAAAGGATAGCACGCAGGTGATTCTCGTACTGGGATGTCTCGCATGCCTCGATAGTGTAATGCCCAGAATTATGAGGCCTCGGAGCGATTTCGTTGATATAGATAGTGCCTAAGAAAAGATATGAGCTCGCGATCCTCGGAATGGTATTTCGGAGGTCACACCATCATCCATGAGGAACATTTCGACACCGAATATACCAGCACCCTCGAACGTAGCGATTGCCTGTTCTGCCACCGCCTGTGCCCGCGACGCAACAGCGGGATCCCGATTGCGCAATGGCGCAAAGACCAGATGCATGATACTTTCCTTGTGGATTGTTTGCACGACCGGATATGACCGCACTTCCCCGGCCGTGTTGCGGACGACCATGACAGCAATTTCCTGACAGAACGGTACCCACTTCTCGGCATACAAAGGTCGATCTCCAAGGAATTCGATGGCAGCCTGTGCCTGCGAGAGTTCGCGCAGCACAAAGTTACCTCGGCCGTCATAAGCTAGCGTCCTACTTTTGAGCATCAGGGGCAAACCCAGCTTATTCGCGGCTACGTGGATAGACTCGACGTTGGAGTCAACGCGCAGGAACTCCGAGACTGGGCAACCTTTCGCGCGCAGATGCTCCTTTTGCAGGAACTTATCCTGAATGGTGCGGATAGTGGTGGGGCTGGGATGAACAATGACTGACCCGGACTTCTGGACCTCCTCGAGTACGTCTGCATTAACATGCTCGATCTCCACCGTCAGGACGTCCACGCGCGATGCCAACTCCCGGATTTTGTCTGGATCGGCGAAGGATCCGTCTATGTGGGCGAGTTCCGGTCTCCGCGGGGTAATTACCTGCTTCGCGGGTCCATTGTCCCCAACGTCGAGTATGACAACGTTGACATTCAGTAGCGACGCCGAGGCTGCTAGCATGCGGCCGAGCTGGCCCCCGCCTGTACGGATGACAGTCTTAATCCATGTATATCACTGGAAAGGTGACTGGAACTGGTGTTGTATCAGCCCGAGCCAGCGTTAAGCTTGAACAACAGAACCCACTCCTACCTAGAACTCCTACAGTCTTGTCCATCGCCGGGCTTCGTCTACACTCAAGGACGGAGCTGCTGATGTACGGACAAGTCAAAAGAGGGGACTTAGAAAAATTAGAGGTTGGAGTGAAGTGACAGTCACTAAGTGCTCACATGACCAGTTACTCTCGTCACCCTCGTAGCCCGAGTCACCGACGTCGACGGCGACGCGTCAATTATCGAATATCATGTTTGCTGCTCCTTTATGAAAGCCACGCTCTGCACCGCTGACTTGCCATCGAGCCGTTTTTTTTCCGCCATCAACTTCAGACTATTTTTCCAGTCAGGTTTGCTCGAGCTTGAAGGTACTCTGAACCAACAAACGCAGGATGCGCCTCCCGTGCGGAAACTCAATCCTTCACTGGCATTTTCGAACCGGTTAATTCTGTCAAAGACTACAATTGCGCATTACTAGACATAGTTCCGCTACCATTAACTTGCAGACTATCTACTAGAGGGAGGAGTAGGCGGAAACTGGTCAATCCCTGAGCGCTTGTGGTGTCTTCTCAAGTGTCTCTAACAGGTGCAAGGGAGATTCCACACCGGTACAAAGGTCTCGATCTTGTTAAAAATGTTGACTGACATTGCTTCCGATGCCTGTATTCATGGGACCACTGGAGCTGTCTAGGTGGATAGCGCGTTCATAGTAGCACACTGGCGCGTGGCTCCCTTCCACAAACTAGCCCTGGGGTAATCTTATGAATATTCAGCGATGCTACAGGGTCTCCATTTATTTTTTTCACAGCACTCGTTCTAGGTGCTGTCAACTACTTGACCCCCCGTTACTACCGGTACCACGAGGGAGCTCTCGGACGAAGACGTGAGGCACCTCGCTGCCTCTTCATGTCTTCCCCGTACACTTCCTTTAAGAGGTTAGCAGGACCTCACCCGCTATGGATAGCGTCCGCTGGCGGCCGGTCTCGCTCCTCTCGGGACTCAAAGATCCATTCATTGCGATATCACGAGGATCGAGTGTCATGAATCGCAGCAGCTTGAATTTGTTGCGGCTGTGCGACTGGTGTGAACGTTATACCTATGTGAGGCCTAACTCTTCGTCCCCGATACAACCTAGCGGCAGCGCTAGGTATGATGCCAAGGTTCGTTTCGTACACGCGGCAGCCGGATGCCTGTCGTCCCTGTGGTTTTCGTACAAAAGGGATCGCTGGACTTCCGGAGCGCAATATATTGCCGCTAAGTACGATTCACGCTCCCTTACTTGCTACGTTCTCATGCCTTCTTTCAATTCCAGCACAGATATCATCGAACTCCGCGGCACCCGCGTCAACTGGCTCCACCGAGGTGGACGGATTTGCATTGACGGCGCACAGTACGAATATTACGACAGCTCGGACGACGAATCCGTAGTCAACCGACCGGGTGTTGGACGGACTGTGGATAACTTCATTTCCCGCATATCGGCGCCACTGGAGATGTTCCTCGGAAACGTCTGCGAGCGTATGGCAGCACGTCATCTTAGAGGAGCCAACGCCGCTTTTGCTCGTATCATCCTCCGTGCCGAGTCGGGGGATCCTTCCAAAAAGGTTCGCAAGCCCCTGGATCTTCCGCACTGGCTACAGGCTTTGCGCTCGGGGAAAATAGATCCAACCAAGTTTTGGTACCATCTTGAGACTGCTGAAAACACGGAAGAACATCGGGAAGTGTACTGCGCAATTACCACCGATGTAAAGAAATTGATTAAGTATGCTATGTGAGTATGTAGTCTCTCCATTACCATCACGTCTCTTACCTTCTCCACCCTCTTTGTCTAGCGACCGACGCAGGTCTTCTACCAGCCGTCTAACAGCAATTTATTATCTTATTCTTCTCCTCGTGATGTTGCCTCGCACTGCCGCGTCACTGGTGAAGGGTCTGAATGTCAGAGATGCGATGGTCCGATTGGCAGAAGAGGCGTGCCGCAACGGTAGCTCCCCCTCGATCGCCGCCACTCTCCGGCCCATCCAGGAGACTGCATCGGATCTCGAAAGATATACCGTATCTACCACCGGGGATTTACCCACATTCACGGATTTTTCGCAATCGGACGTCGTGCATATGTTACACGGGCATGCGTAGGTTCAACTGCCCTTTCCACAACACACTGTGTCTCGCCATACTTACGCCTACATAGGAGGGGCGTTTGCGGCTCCGCCTTCTGGTATCTGCTCACCAGCTCGGGGTCATTCTCGAAGCTCCCGAAGCATCAGATTCGGGACGGCTTGGCGGCACTGACTGAAGACTGGACAAGGCGAGTCGTGTACTGGCTGAAGGCAGCGCAGGTGAATAGTCTTGACGTCACGATATACTCACTCGTGCTCCACAACAGTCGGCGCAGCCGCGCGCCGATGGTGACATACACCGAGCGGATCCTTCTGTGGCTCCCGGTATTTCGCGTCCTCTGCGATGAGGACTCTGAAGGGTATTTGGTTTGTATGCTTCCTTTGACTGACTGATAACAGAATTACAGGCTGCTGAAGTTCCCGCCTTTATTGGAGTTGACGCAGAGCATTATCCAGTCGTACACGCGCATCCTCTCGGCCCCGCTGTGTGGGCGAAATCCAGACCATCTTGAACCTCTCACCGCGGAACAACGAAGGAGCATCGAAAGGGTCTATAAGAGACTTTCGCACTCGAATTCGGTTTCGGAAAGGGTGTACAGATTCCATTGGACTTGCCGTAGCATCCTGGATGCGCTCGAGGGGACGCTTTCTCCCTTCTTCCAATGGTGGGCCACCTACGCAGTGGGGGTTCGGGGGGCTAGCACTACCTCACCGACCCCCCTACAGAAGCGGGCGTGTGATGATCTTCTACGATTGTTAACGAGGTATATGTGATACCATGAATTGGTCAATCAATTCAATACTGATGGATAGTGTTGTCATCCTAGCAACGAGTGCTCGAAGGTGGATGCGACCCAAGGAGCGATTCTGCATCCTTTCTTTACCGCCCAAGTGGCTAAAACACTGGGAGAGATCCTGCGGGACTCAGAATTAACATGTCGCTCGACGTGCTTGCCCGTCTACGCATCCATACTCCCGGTGTGGTCGTCTTTCTCGGTCGAGGATCGTTCACTTTATGACTCCCATCCTTCAACCACAACTACGAGGGAACGGTCTGGTGCCGAATCGGGAGTACACCCTGCGTCTGCGTCCTCAGGAAACGGTCTCCACTCGATTGAGACACCGGAATATCATTTCACCCAGAGGCTGCTGGAGCATTGGGATAATCATCTCAAAGCTTACTTGCGCAAACACCCTACGATATCTCTCCCAGTATTCAAGGTTTCTCTTGTAGCCTGAAGCTGTAGCTGCAGACAAGACTGATCTATAGAAAGCCAAATTAAATACTCGTACTTCGTAACTCGAATCCCAATGCAGACGGCCTTTGCCTTGATGTTTCTGCGAGTGCAAGGTGTCTTCCCTACGACATTGGTCCCTGTTCTCACGCCCTTGCGTGCAATGATTTCTGCAAGCCACAGTGTGGAAATAGTTTCCGAGATTGTATCACTGATCATCGGTGGCTTCATGTGGCTGTACTAAACACGTGTTCCTCACATAGTGTTGCAGTCATGTGGCATCATTCGAACCTCCTGCGCCACATCTTGCCACTCACCGGCCTCACCATTCTCACCACCAGTAACCCGGTATGACTTTGTCGTCATCGCGGGCAGACTACCGTGTCCTGGAGAGCAGGACAGACACCAAGAATTTCAGGGTACGGATCAAGACAACGCACCCGCCCGAGCCGACAGAGGAGGCGTTTGACCTGGACGACGCGAAGACTTCGCGTCCGCATACCCGGTCTGAACACATTGTTTCTTATCCCCTAAAGTTTGAGGAGAACAAGGACTTCGACGACGACGACGAAGAAGATAACGAGCAGTTTCGGAGTCATCTGCGCGAGTTCGCGCCCTCGTACCGTCACTTGAACCACGCAAGGCTCAGCAGTGATGTTTACCCTATCGCACTCTACATAGATGAGTACAATGAGGTCAGGTTCTTTGATATTGTTGGCGAGATTGCGTCCGGCGAGGTCGTATCGCAGCTCCCGAAGAACGGCGATGACATCCGGAAAGAATTCAAGTCTACGTGGAACACGGAGATGCAGGACAAAGGAAGGATTAAGACAGCCGACGTTATATACCGGCTGCCGTACCACCGGCTCCTTGTCCCCCTCACCCAATTCGTATCTACATGGGACTGCATGAAGGCGTTGTATGATTCCATAGAGGGTAAGCTGCCTCCCTTCTCACCCAGCTCGCTGATTATAGAATGTTCCCTATCTCTTTTCTGCTAGCGCACGAAGTCCTTGCTAATTCAGGCGAAGTGCACGGAAACATCGATCTCAACACTATCCTGACGGACGAGCACCGCCCCGGAGACGCGCCCCGCTCGCAGAGAGGCTACCTATTCGACTACGAACATCCGCGGAGGTACGCGGTGTCTCTTCCAGGCTTGGAAGATGTGAATTGGAGAGCGATGGTGAGCAGCCTGCCGGCTATGCGGAACTACATGCCGGCGTTAGTGGAGCAGATAAGGGGCATGCAGTTCCAGGAAGAGAGCAACGATGCAGGGAAAACGTGATAGTGTGTATTTGCTGATGCAACAATATTGATATTGTCAAGGTATGTATAACATATATAAGTATGGTTGCACGGGCCTGAATGCGATACAGTCGCAAGCTTTCAGATCTATAAATTACCTTGGGTCGCAAGGTATGCCGTTTACCTGTAACTACTTGCAGAAGTGGGCCATTGCAAGCATGGCATGATACGAGTCCTGAGTCCCTTGTAAAGGAAGCATGAGACAGAAACTTCACACTAATAATCCTGTTATACCCCCAATTGGTGTTGCACGACGCGTCCGTGTCACGTGACCGTGTACTGTCTCAGTCGCCGCGTCTATGCTAACATCAAGGGTGGTAAGCTGGAGCCACGTCCTGGGTTCCGCTTTGGCCAGAGGACCCGGCCGGCTGACACAAAGTCCACGTAGCCCTATAGCCCATGGCCCATAGCCCATTTGTCATCGGGCTACATAGACTTCGTAACTTCTTAGCCCTGTCTGGGGTAGGACAGCAAGCCGGCTTGCTGGCCCCCTCGGGGCCTCTCGGGCGCTCGCAAGCGAGCCCTTTGATCGTCACAGAACATGGAGCGAGAGCGGTGAATGTGGCGGGTATATATACTGATGCTCATTCCGACGCGCTGCACGTCGTTCGACCCCCTCGCGCATGTAGGTACAGTGTTAATATGTTATATAGTACCTATAAAATACGTATAGTACTGGTCAATGAAAACATTTAACAATGAAACCGCAATCAGTAGCTCACGCCCACTTCAAAGTTAACAAGTTGTGTAGTACTAATAGTGTTGCCGCTGTCACGTATGTGCACGTTGAATCCAGAAAACTTCAGACGGTTGTAGACCCGTTAGAGTGCGCGATTAATACTCTGCTAAGCGCGAGATCTGTATGCCACATACGCGACAAGCTGCAGATTCCAGATTCCATCCTGTATCGTTTATCGAGTCCATTATCCTTCAATACATAAATAGATCTTGCAGTACAGTCAATTTGTATGGGTAAAAATAGTCTACAGCGCCCTACGTCGTCTATGAGGGCGTCGAATGCACCTCGCGCAACAGTATATATACACTGCGGGACCCTTCGGCCTTGTCACATAGCTCCGGGCCATAGACGTAACGGACTCCCATAGCCCGTCCACTTTTGTCTTCATAGCCCCGTGGCCCGGGGCTACGGACTCGTAGCCTCATAGCCCTATAGCCCTCCGAGGGCCATGGACCAGGGCTATAGGGCTAGGCTATAGGGCTACGTGGACTTTCTGTCAGTCGGCCGTGCGTTCTCGCTTTGGCCGGCCCAAGGACGACGCTCTGTACCCCATCCCGATTGCGCTTCTCCAGCCTGAATTTGCACGCTTCCAGGAGGACCTCCGTTCTGCGGCCCTCGACCCGTCCCTGTCGCCGCTCGCCTGGCGCTGGGTTTGGGAGCTCTCACCCTTGTTTGACAAAGAGAGCAATCGGGAGGGGTTATTCCACGAACTCCTCGCCCCGCTGTTCGGTGAAGGGGTTGTTATTCAGAAGAAGGCCGTGAGCTCATACATGACGGACGGCGGTGTTCTGCACGCCGGTCTCCTGAGCCTCCCGACAATGCCTGTACTCATCGAGGTTAAGAATGAGACTACCGAAGGAAGCTCTGATGGCGTGTTTGAACTGCTGCTTTGCTTTAAAGAAGGGGTTCGCCTTGTTCTAAGAGAGGATGCTTACAAAGAGGCAAGGCGCACGAGGTTGCCATCCATATTAATACTGCACAATGGTACGTTTTGTGACATTGTAGCTATACTGAGATGTTTCATGACTTTGTAGGGCCTAATATCCAAATTTACGGTGCCGTGTGGCTGGCGGAGGGGTACATCGAAGTACTCTCAGCCTCCATCCCTCTCTACTTCAGTCTGCACAACATGTGGGCGATGGAGGATCTTTTGAGATTTATGACCGCCCTTCGACGTCTCTATCAATCCCTTGCCCTGATTTACAGGAATCCTCTCGATCACAGCGTTGATCCAGACCAAGTCGAGTTCCCATATCCTCGGTATTATCCGGCAGGTATCCACCACGACGAGGGCCTGGACTCGAAGGGCCGAGTATCCTTTTCCTACATCAAGCGTATCAGTTCCATCCGATTGGTCTTCTCCGCTCGGACTGAACACGGGGAAGATATTATTGTCAAGTTCGGAGACGGATCCTACGGGGTCGAAGGCCACCAGGCTGCCGCTCGTGCCGACCTTGCTCCCACTCTTCTCAGTCACTCGCGACTGCCTGGCAGGATGTGGATGGTCGTGATGAGTCTCTTGCCTGAGGGTTTCAAATCATGCAGTTCCTATGCGCAGCTCCCTGGTCCTTGCAAAATGGTCATCACAAAGGCTGTCACACAGTTCCATGAATTGGGGTATGTGCACGGAGACCTGCGCGATGCGAACATGTTCATGCGCGACGGCGGAGAGGCTGGCGAGTGGAAGTGCGCACTCATTGATTTCGACTGGGCCGGCCGGCCTGGGGAGGCGACGTACCTGCCAGGCGTGTTCAATAATGATGCTGTTTGGAGACCGCACAAGTATATGGATGGTAAGTTGATTACTGCCGATGACGATCTCCAGACCATCACGGAATTCTTTGACCGTCGTTGACTGAGCTGGAGCATCGATACGTTCCTGTTGTAGGCCTTGTGTACCTGTCTATACAAGTCCCCTTATGCATGTTGTGTGAGATGCGGACGACCATTATGAAAGTCCCTGAATCCTGGACAAGCGGAAATCGAGAGAGGATTGCAGATACCTGACATGTCGGATGTTTTGGAGAATGTGCGGTCGACGCCGTCTTGGCTTTTAGGTATGGTTATATGTACAGCACCTTCATGAAAAGTCGAACTGGGGAAACAAGAGTTCTCAGGCCGAAATCGCTGGTCAAGGATAGACGACGGAGATGGGCCACATACGTACATATGGGTATATAGTTCTGGGTGATGAGGTGAGGCTCAGAGGCCTGTAAATGCCTTTGAGTCGAGGGGAGATAGGTTATATCCACTCACGACCGCCTCTGTGTATAACATTTCTACGACCTTGAGCGACGAAGTTCGTACCAGAGAGAGGATAAGGTCCGGATCGACATTGTGATGCTTCTTTCGAAACTTACGGCACCTCGCATCTTCGAACGTTCGTAATATATAGTAACTGCCTCGTGCCCGACGTGTTGCAGGCACCACGGCCGGCTCATCATGCACATTCATGTGTTCCTGCAGGACTATCAGTATTAGTATCGCGACTGGATTCCGCGCATCCATTCAGACCAGACTGCAGGCGAACCTCACCCATGCTATACAACCCTCCTCCCAGGTCTCAGTGTAAAACTGCACACGTCACAAGTCGAGATGCAAACCCGGGTTTCTTGCCGTCCCAACGGGTTCAGGGACAGGAAGTGGTGCGCACAGCCAGGGAATTGGATTCCGTCAAGGTAAGTACCACCTCCACAATATACGTATTGCATGTTGCAGAAAGTGAATGTTCAGCTCGAGTCAGAGCTTCATTCGCTCGTAGGGCAGCTAAATCAAGAAAAGGTCAGGGCTTGTTCCATGCCATGGATTTACTCGCCGTTCTCATCGTACTGGCATGCAGACCACGAATATCGACATTCAAACCCAGGTATCAGATCGAGAAGCAAGGATACGTACTCAAGAGGTGGGACTTTGAACGTATGGACGTATGCATGTGACCTCATGGATTCACGACTTGACAGACATCGAATGCCTACCTGCAAGAGAAGTCCACAGCGCTCAGCTTGGCGCTCAAGCGGACCGAAGATGTGATACTGCGTAAAGACAAGGAACTGGAATCAGCCAAGCGCGCCGAGTTCAACCTCTACGGGGGATACACATCCGAGTTCCACCATGTCCCCTCTAAGTCTGCGACAGGACGTATCAATACCCGTCCGGCTGGGGCGAGAATCTCGGCGTTCTGTCAAGATGAGAGTCCGCGGAAGTATCTGAGAAGATTGGCGATGGTAAGCTCCTTTCTTATAGCTATTGCGATCGAAGAGTAACACGCACATTTCCAGATGCGGGGATCGTAAGCACGTCCTGTTCGTAGAGGGTAAAAGCCTCCGCTGACTCTTTCCTTCACCAGAACCGCGCCGCGCCTACTGATAACCTCCACAAACCTTGTCTTCCCAGACCCGCCGTCCCTCACACGCGCGACCCTCTTCCTCGCAACGCAACGTCGGCGGTCCCAGCGGTGGTGTCCCAACGACGCCTGGACGAAGGTGCAAGAAGGTACGAGACATGAGGTAATAACGGAGAGAGACGGGGAATGGTTTTACCTCGGGACATACGTCGCCGCGGAGGAGCCTAGGATGGTCGACCCCAGGGCGTTCGTCTCCATGGCTGACGAGGTACGCACATCCATCGATCTATCTCCTGCATACAGATTTTCAGGCCGCTGATAGGTGAGATCGGCGATATATCGTCAGACGCTCGCGGAGCCAGACGGGGCACCATTAAGCGGCATCGCGGGTATGTACGGAAGAGGCCTGCTTCGTGCTCTGAGGATAGACCTGGAGTACGCGGGATACAATGAGGAGTTGGCTAGAGAACTCGCAAGGGCCGTGAGCAAACGTCGATGCCCTCATAAGAGGAAGGGGAGGAAAAGGGGTTCGAGGCAGCTGGACGGGGCCGAGGGTGACGACACCTGGGGTTATGCGGAGGCCTGACAAGATAAAGTCGACGAGACCCGCTGGGCGGCTCAACGATATAGAAGTGGATTACAGCGGACTGAGTATTTATCTGCTATACCGTGTTGACGTGTATCAATAGGGTCACTTAAGTAATATAATTGTATGCTTACCTTAGAACAGTGATGGGGTGTGAAGGTACGCTGGTGCTAATACCCGTCCGAAACCTATGCAAAGAACACAATCCAGCATATAGCTTCGATGGAGGTGTAATGGAGTAGTGCAAGAGTGAGAATGGACGCATCAATAGGGGACCGGTGAGCCGCAAGCAGGAGCCAGACACATCACCGAAAGGTCATTTGTTCATCGCACTACAAGTCATATCTCCGCGTTATACATCAGTTCTATTCTTCTCCCGGAATTCGGTCTAATCAACATCGCCACCTGGTAGAGTGTGTCGTTCATCCTCGTCACTCGATTCTCCCTCTTCCTCCTGCGCAGCTGCGCCTCCCCAGAATCGACTCATGATATTCCTGATGAGACGGACGGGCATGGGCTGCGACATGATTAGGTACCCGTGCTGCATTGTATGCATTGGCGACTTACCGCCACATCGACCTCCTCATCTCCCTCTTCATCGTCATCGTCATCGTCATCGTCATCCCCTTCTTCCCGTTGCGCGACTTCTTGCTCTCCTCCACCGCCGCGATTATGTGGCTCTCCTTCCTCTGCTTCGTCCAAGAACCTCAGATCCATTTCCCCTGGCATTCCGCCCGGCATCCCCCCATCCCCTTCCGCAAACCCATCCCCGTCCATCTGCGCAACTTGTGCTAGCAGCTCCTCGACTGCGTCCTCGCCCATCTGTCCCGCTACTTGCGCGAGCTGCACAAGACCCCCAGGGAACTGCTGCGCCAATCGCGGATTCGCATCGAACACAGCCTATTCCCCTTTCTAATCAGCGTTCATTTCCAAAATCAAGTGAAAAGCGGGGTAGGCGTACCTGGAGGTACCGCCGGACCCTGGGATCAGGCACGAGCCTCTCCACAAGTCGCTCCCTTGCGCGCCGCGACATGCCCTCAAACCCGAACGCATCCCCCACGCCCTCAAAGAAAGTCTCATCATATTCGCTCACCCTGGTCAACGGCGGCACCGGATCGCACGCGAGCCCGCCACCCCTGTTCACCTCTGCGGGCATGAACGCAAACAGCGTGCGATAGGCCGTGCCTGCAGAGGAAGAAGATTCCAGAACAACGAGGTGCCGGTAGACAGAGTACGCTAACGTGGGCTTGCTAAAGAGCGCGGTGAACCGGCCGAGATGAACGTTGGAGAGGGCGGATTGTGGGAGGTAGGAGAGCAAGGAAGAGGCGGTTGATGAGAGCCAGGAGCCGTATGCGGATTCTTGTTTCCATAATGCGCCAGCGCGCTGGGCGTACAGGTGGGCAAGGAGGTGCGCGACGTCTTCTGATTGAGTTCCGCTGATTTGGTCAGGAGACAGTTATCAGAGACGGAATGAGATCAACGGCCTACGAAATTCAGTCGACCGCCTACCTAGCACCAGTATGCACCCTAAACGCTCGATGTGCCCTGACTTCACCCGGCAGAGATATATCACCTTTATCCGCAAGCACTGGGACGACCGATGGGAACGCGAGGATCGCTTCCTTCAAAGCGGCATCGCTTCGCTCGTGTGTCTGTCAAGGGACAAAGGACGGGCACCATAAACATCAGTACGTATGTCATAAGCGCGGGAAGAGGAGGGCTTACAATGCTCTTTTCACTGTTCTCTTGCATCCTCAGTGCCAATGCCCGCGAATACATCCACCCGGGCAACACGCTAGGATCCATCCGTCCGTCTCTCCCCTTCCCACTCTTCTCAACGGTGCTGTCAGCATCTTTCTTGAAGGCGGCTACGTAAAAGAGTGTCTTTACCTTTGAATTGAAGTAATCATATACGTCCAGCAGCCACGCAGAGGAGCCCGACTTGACTGCGAGCGTATCCAGGTGCAGAAGGGCGCCATGCGGATCTGTCCAGGGGTCGAGCGAGTAGAGGAGCTTTGCGAATTCGAGGGCGGTGCGGGGACACCCGCGACGCTGGAGGTCGCTATATCATTGTTATTTAGTCGTAACAAATATAGGATCAGAAGCTAACGCCTCGACAACGAAAAACCAAAAATTGAACGAAAGGACTTACGTGATGACCCTGGCTACCGCGAGGAAGAACGGTCGGTTCTCGACACGATCGAAGTCGAGCCTACAGCTTCCGGTCGTGAAGTTGAACGAGCCAACACCGGAGAAAGCACGTTCATATGCAAACAGTGCGCGCTCCGTGAAATCTGTGGCCTGGGCATGCTCTACAAACGAATCATCGGTGAGGCGAAAGCCAACAGTAGGAGGTAAATGACCCGACTTACCATCGCGATAGCGGTAAGCTTCAGCCAGCTGTAGAAGTGTGTCGGCATGATAGGGTAGTTTGCTCAAAATCCTCCAGAATCCCTCCGGATCTGCTCCTTATGAGCAAGCGCGCATACAGCCACTTGAAGGCGAGAAACGCACCTCCTGACATGACAGTCCCTACGAATCCCTTCGTGACGCTCTTGTACCGCCTGTCATATTCGACCGTCCACCACCTCCCCTCATCTGCCTCCCCGTCTGACCACCCAAATCGCTGTCTCTTTCCCTCCACCTCCTCGACCACTAGGGAGCGGAGTGAGAGCCCTTCACGGAGTTTTGCTGGCCACCATCCATCTTTGGGTTTGACGAGGACACTGCGCACTCTGGCTGAGAATTTGGAGGAAGGAGGTATGACTTTCGAGCCGAAGAGCTTGCGCAGCTCGGATTGCGGATCAAGGTGTGCAGGGTTAACGGCGAGGAGGGAAGAAAGGGAAGGTCTGGAGGTGGATGCGGCCGATGTGCTGACGGTTTGAAGGTCCGGATATCTGCGGTGGCGGTTGGGAGGGTGTACTAAGGAATGATGGTCCGACGCACTTCACGGATAGCTCTGCTAGTACTTTATCCAGCTCATCCACATCTTTCTCCTTTGCTCTCGCCTTCTTTGCTGCCTTGCGGTCTTTCTTCGAAGGTACAGGGGCGGGGCTGGCTGGTGGCGGCGTAGCCTCAACCGATGGTGTAGCCTGAGGAGATTGTTCAGCGGCAGGCATCGGTTTCACTCCACTCTTCTTTTTCTTCTTCTTGTTACTCTGCCTCGATATGACTGTCAAGGCCAGTACGCAAGCGATATACCGGCTTGTAATGCACCTTCTTGGATTTAGGGCGCGTTGCCCCTTCGTCCTCTTCACCGTCCGAACCGTTATCATCACCTTCATTGGGTTGCAAAAGCTTTCCACACAATTTATTTATCGTCCCTAAGGCGATTTGGAGACAACTTGACTCACAGCAGCGAACCGCAGAGCCTGCGCCTTGGCCTTCACGTCCACCTGTGCATCAACCTCGTCCTCGTCTGAGCCTGCTTCCTGTTGCAGCTTCGATGGACCGCCTAGTGCGAAGAGTTCATCCTGTTCGCGTTGTTGTCTTTTATTCAGACGAGGCGGCATAGCGAACACAGAGTACGATGAACAATCAACCGGCTGTAGTCTTAGATGAATTCGCACTCCGTGACGTAATCATACCCTAACCTTACTGCCCGCCGCGGACCTCGGACAGATGTGAGCTTCGTTTTCGAGACTCAACAGTGCACGAAGCAGTTATCTCTCATTGAAACCAGATAAGCTGGTTTCCCTCTCCTTTCCTTCTTAATGTCCACAACGATAATTCGCAGGGCACAGGCGAAAGAAAAGGAGAGGGGTGTCGCCAGTGAGCAGAAAGTATAGACAGAGCCCGAGACAGAGATACGGCCCGCGCAAAAGAGATAGGGGAGCACTAATGTCCATGAAGGCTGTTGGTGGAGCAGATGAGTAACAGGGGCTGCCCACATGCGTTGGAGCCAAGAAACTTGTAAAAAAGGAAAACAAAAGACGTGTTCGAGAGGAAACATAATCCAGTTAGCCCACAGAAGCTGAGAAAAGAATATATACTTGGAATAGGTGTGACGTGCAGCCGGAACAGCGAACTTAGCATCAGGCGTAGCCTCCGGGTAGATACCACTGATCCATCGCCACCGAAAAGCAATCAAAGGCCTTGGGTATAGCGGAGCGAGCTGAGACTGATGAACAAAAGCAGTTATAAGAAACCATGCCCCGATGTATAGCAAGGTCGCACAATCGTGCAAGTTCAAGACCACATATGATGTCGCAGTCGAGGTGGCAGTGGCCCATGAGAGCAGCCAGAGCGAACGGGACGAGAGCGCAATTGTACAAAACGGAGACGGGCGAGACTCAGAAAAGGGAGAGCCGAGAAAGCCTAGTGCGATCAAATGCAGTGAAAGCAGGGCATTCATGATTTGAGAGAAGAGGGCCTCATGGTGGTTCAGCTGGAAAAGCACACGCACATCTGTCGTACAGAGCGAGGCACTTGCACCAGATTCACTGCTCACTTCGGTGACCATGCTGTTCTCCAACCGGCGTCGAGAGTACTTGAAGAGGCACGAGGACTGGGACGATAAGTACCAGGGCGGTAAGGGGGAAAGATGACCAACAAAGACAGAGGAATGGGATCAGAATCCATGAGAACTGCCGCTAATCACAACTTGAAGATGCCACTTTGATGCAGTTGAGGTTACATACAGGTAGCCAGACAGGGAAGCCATGTTCGGATCCTGAAAGCGAGGCCGAAAGGAACAGCTGGTCTATCATATTGGCGAGGGTGAGAGCGTCCAGGAGAAGGATGGCCAGCATGCTCGCAATGCATCCATTTATGATAGGCCGAGCGAAGGGCATAGAGAAACAGCGCGTGATAGGCCATATGTACGGCGCAACGGAACGAGTGGCATCACAGCAGACCAGCAAGGTTGAGCATCCGTGTAGCACGGATAGGCGAGGTGTTCGAAGAACCGTCTGAAGAACTCCCGCCTGAGGGCACAGTTCCGCCGTAGAGCAAGTCGACCCAGCAGGAAAGTAATGGTAAGCCATACTCTCAGCAATTAGGAAGGAACAGAATCAAAGCGCGACAACAGAGATAGACCGCGTAGATTTATAAGATGAATAGCCGATGATCTTAATGAACGTCGATCCACGAACGCACTGGTAGACGGCGGCACAGCTCAACGAGGTAAGAGGGACAACAACCGTAAGCCAGGATCGAAAGAGGGAAGGCGAATTTCGCAGAGTCCAGCGCTCGATAGATCGGAGAGGCTGGCTAGCAGAACCCATCCGTGTTTCAACGACGGTTCTCCAAAGAGCTCAGCGCTTTCACCAAGTGAGAGATACTTGCCATGTGGCAGCCCATATCGTCCCTTCTCGCGATCACCCATAACGCGCAGATGAAGGAAGATGTGCCACTCTCCCGAAGGAGAATGATACGCAAAAAATTATGGAATAGAGCATTCCGAAGAATCTCTCGATATCGGTAGTCCGCGTCGCGAAGGACGTGCGGCGATATCTAGCGCAGGGAGATGAGTCCCGTCGTACTGACTGCAATGGAGATAATGTCCGGGGAGTTGGGATGAAGAGACGTGAGGTCAAGGTAATAAGTAAAAAGCGGCCGACTAGGACGTACCAAACGTGGCAACCATGTTCATAGCTCTCAAACAGGTAGTCAGAGAGCTGTGCAAGAAAAGGCGATCAAATACCACAGAGAGGAGCGGAATATTGCCCGAGTGATGACAGTGTTGTGGAGGACTTGATCGTTGACGAGTGGTTGATGATCGACCGGCCACTTACACATTTTGACTCTGACAGTCTTGTATTGCATTCCTCGAAGTCGAGAACGAGCAGAGAGCTCATCAGGCAGCAAGAGATAATATCGAACGAAGCAGAGAGAGACATAAAAGGAAAGCTAGAGTAGATCAGACTAGGCACTTGATGAGCCGTCGTAGATGCTTGAAATCAATGCATGAGGAGTGTCTTAACGGGTGTTGAGGGGCGAGTACTACCACCAAAGGGTCTTGAAGAGGCTTAAGGGCCGTCAAGGGTTTCAAAGAGCCTTCAGGGACATATTGCGGGAGGGCGAAGGGTCCTGACGAGTGTGTTGAGGGCCGGCAGAGAGCCTTGAAGAGGGTTGAAGGTGCGCCTAGCGACTTGATGGGAGTGTTGAGAGGCAGCCGGCCAGAGAAGTACTGCCAAGCGGGGGCACAGCGAAGCGACCAAAAGGGGACAACCACCGTACGGAGACAGGGCAGAAAGAAGCACAGGCGTGTTGAACGATTTAATGCCCTCAACGGACCGAACTCTTTAGCTGCACCCATCCGTCGGCCAACGGCGGCTCTACAAAGAGCTCAACGCTCTCATGAAAGAAGGGGGATACTCACCTCATAGCTATCTTTACTCTCACCTCCCCGCACGCTGGCCATAAATAGAAGATGTGAAAAGATGTGACACTCTCCCGGAGGAGAATGATGTGGAAAAAATTATGGAGCAGAGTATTCCGAAGAACCTCTCGACATCGTTGGGTCCGGGTCCCGAAAGACGTACGGCGATGTCGTGTGCAGGGCAATGAGTCCCGTGGCACGAACTCCAGCTACGGATGGTGTTCTGGATCTGAATACAAGATGTTACATCAAAACGAGCAGTGGGGCGACCGACTAGAACGTACCAAACTAACTGCGCGGGCGTGGCTATCCAGCCGGTGATGGCGCTGGCACTGCAAGAGAAACGGCGGTCAGATAGTGGACAGAGGGGCTGAATCCTTGCCCGAGTAATGACTAAATTCGTTGAAGGACTTGATAACGTTGACGAGGGGTTTGAGGATGGGACGGTCACTCGCGGTCTTGATCATCAAACTCTTCGATTGCCTTGAAGTCCAGCACGAGCACACAGGAGACCCAGCAACAGCAACGCCAGAGATAATATTACACGAAGCAGGAACAGATATAAGAAGAAAGCTAGAAGTATACGAAACTAGACGCTTGATGAGCCGTTGGAGACACTTGAAGAAATGCTTGAAGAGTGTCTTGAGTAGTCTTGAAGGACACCTGGTGGTCTTGAGGAGTCTTGAGGGTTCGCCTACGGCCTTGAAGAGTCTTGACACTCAATGGTGTTGAGGACAGTCCAACAGGTCTTGAACATCGACTTGAGCGAACCCAGAAGAACAGACAGTCGCCAGAGAGAAGCCGTCGAAGAAACTTGATGAGCCGTCGAGGAAACTTGATGAGCCGTCGAAGAAACTTGACGAGCCGTCAAAGAAACTTGACGAGCCGTCGAAGGAACTTGAAGAGACTTGATGCGTCTTGAAGTGCCATCGAGATCCCTGAGGAGTCTTGAGGAGCGTCCGAGGGTGTTGAGGTGCGAATTTGAGGATCAGAGGGTCTTGAGCTTGAGGGAGTCGCTTGACGTCTGGCGAGGATCTTGAAGGGCGCCGGGTGGTTGGGACTTGATGTGGCTCGGCGATTGAGGTTCAAGTCGGTGGCACTTGACGCAAGATTGAGGCCGACTTTCAGAAGACTTGAACGGCTGTTGTATGGCAAGGTCAGTACTTAATATTTTTGCGTATGCGCGATAGATTCAACTGCCTCGCCACACGAATGGAAAAAATAAGATGTGGATGCCACTCACCTTGACGTGGCATAGACCCTTCCTATGGTCGACGAGATGAGGTAAGGTTGCAAAGCAGAGGTCAGCAAAGAAGAAGCAGGACAAGTCCGACGAGGTCGCCTGAGGGGATTGAGAACGGATGGGGGGAGGGGACGAGAGGCCCTAGTCGAACGATGGCACATCAGCCGCCCTCTTTATACATTTCGCCCGGGCCCCCAGAAATCAGGGAACAATCGCGTGACATTTCACAGCATCGATTATCGTCCAAATCACCGACCTATCGCGGGACCAAGTGCCTTTGTCCCTTGTACTGCGCTGCGCTTTGACCTTCCAAGGCCACAAGAGAAGCTAAATTTAGGGTTACATGTGGACCCACAAAGATCTGGTAACTGGATCGAAGTCCAAATGAGGAAGGAGCTGGAAGGAGCTCACGCGCGCCTTTGTGCGAAGTTTGATGCACGAGGCTTGTGTATCCCCGGATGGGCGCCTGAGGTCAAGTGGCTCGAATTCGAAGCTCGTTCGAGGGCTAAGCGCTGTCTGGCTGAATCAGCGTGAGGGACCAGACCCTTTACCCTGCATTTTGATGTACATGATTGGACGATAGCCTGGGAGAAGAGGAGACACGGCCGAACAGTGCGAAATCGATCCGAAGCTGGTTCACCCGGTGCGGCAAGGCTTGGGCCGCTTGGCTCGTGGACTGTTCAGAGTGCATTCTGCATAAAGTTCCAGAGCAATGCACGAGCCTTAGCGCTTGCTCACCTCTAAAAGCCATGTCCCAGGCGAATGCTGACATCTTGATACTGTGGTCCAAATGCTGTGAAAGTGAACAACACCGGTACCGTCGTATAGCGTTTTAAGAGGAACATACATAAACTAGTAATGCTACCATCCTCCAGGTATCCTGTGTGCGCCAAATGAATGACGATAAGGGCGGAGGAATACAATACATGCCTAAGGACGACATCAGCACGGGTGACCTGGAAGGCAGAGCAGGTAGGGTTCAGCGGGCTATTAGCGATGACTGGACCACGCATTTGCTGGGCAACAACCCTTCGCCCGCCGACCACGTGTAGACCAGGCACGGCATTGTCGCAACCAGTTCCTCCAAAGACGACGCTAGAGAATGACGTGGCGAAAGATACAGTTCTCCATCATCGTAGCATAACCAGAGGTTTGCCCATGGATGGAGACTACCGTCGCTGATCTAATATGCTCAGGACTACATACTTTTCCATTGATTGATTATTGTGCTCGGTAACGGGATGGGAGGAGGTATATCTTGGTATGGAGGCTTGAGACATGGCAGCTCCGACAGAGTGATAAGACCCTGAGCTTTTGAGTGTAGCGTAGGGGTAAGAGACTCTAGCTAATCAGCCATGCCTAATCTGTCTGTTAGTACCGGAATCCTGGGCTGATGTCTGCGGCGGATGAGGAGCATAGTCCAAGTGTCCTATTCTCAAACCCACGTGAGGCTCCCCAGATCCAAAACGTTGGACGGGACACATACCCTACTGTGAAGCTTCGTCTGCTGGGGCATCCGCGCTCTGTTCCTTCCGCGAATGGTGAGGTTTGGGTGGTACCATCTCTCTTTTCGATTCCGCTATTGCCGCTGAGACGGATTTTGCAGCTTGTAACTCTGCACCGTCAGGCAGAGCAGCCAAGACGGCGCGTCGAAGTATCCTCTCCAAGTTCGTCAAATCCAGCGACGGCGCTGCCTCAGACGTGTCAGGGAGGGGTGGCGCATCCTCTCCAAGAGACGCCAACAGAGGCAGATGCTGCGGTTCATCTTTCTTCTTCAATTCCTCAGGTTCTATTATGTCTTTGAACACATCTTGGAAGGAGCGCGCTTCGTCTATCGTGAGCCGCGGCCCGTCATCCTTTTGCAAGGCTTGCGCCACGTTCGAAACCAATTCCCGCTCGTAAGCGGCAGTCATCTCCTTCTGGAAATCCGGCAGACGGTAGTCCGCGGAATGTAGACTCAACCTCGGCTCACGACTAATACCAATGATCATGGCCAATACCTCCGCCTCCGAGGCGTCAGCCTTTAACGCTGGCCCTAGAGGATACCCTAAGAAACGGTTCATCCAGCGTCGTACAGGGTCCCTTGGGCGCGCCCGTGCAGAGCGGAATATGCTCCGGGTGAGAATATCGAGCGTACTGCGGAACGTCTTCTCGTCTAGGGGCACCCCGCAAGCGCGGAAAGAACGTGCCACAACGAATGCTCCAGGATAGTCGCTCGCAATTAAGAATGTGCGTAGCGCGGCGTTGAGAACCGCGGTCGTCACGATTCCCGAGGGGCGGGTCATACGGACACGTCCTTCTGCGGAAGTTGACGAGACGTGGGCGGCAAGCATGCTGTAAAAGAGCTCGCGCGGAGACATCATATTCGCCGGCCGCTTGTCGCGGCGGGTGAGCGCGCTCCGTGGGCTGTGCAGGAGGAAGAGTGCTTTGAAGAGCGCCGTGTAAGTGTGATCGTCCGGATATAACTCTTTAGTGCGATTCGAAAGGAGATATTGGTAGAGCATAAAAGCTTTGTCGTAGCGGTGATTGCGGACTTCGGAGGAGATGAGGACATTGAAGACAGGGATGTCCAGCTGCACGCCATCCGCGTCCATCTGTTGCAAGACTGCGTCAACGTCTTCACCGGCGTACTCCTTCCTTCGTAGCAACTCGTCTAGGTATGTCGTGTACGGCGCAGGATCCAACGGCTTTTTTTCCTCCATACTGATTGTGGAGTACTGCTCGATCACCTTCGCAGCGTCTTTGGTGACTCCTAGGGAGAAGTTCACGTATATAAGGTAGCTGGACATCTGTGGACCAAACCTGAATTCCGGGCCGTGTGACTCAGCATATAGATTAGCAACATCCCGAATGAATTTAAGCTTCGCAGACCCTTCGCGCTCCATGAACATAAGCAGTTCTCGGAGAGTCCGCTGGTCGACGAGCCCTTCCGCGAATACCTTCTTGAAGCCTTCGAGCAATTCCGCGTTCTTCTTTAGATTCAGCACCATAGTCAGCGCAAGGATCCGGGCACGCAGTGCAGCCGTTGGTAGCAGCCCCTGCTCGGTCATGGTGTCATACAAGTGGAAAGCACCCTCGTAGCATTCGTGCTCGAAGAATAAGAGCACACCCTTCTCATAGGCCTCGGCTTTGGCGCTACCTTGAAGTTCTGACGTAGCAAGTTTGGAGTAGAATGCCTCGAGTGCTGCGTCTTCGCCTTCCTCGTCTCCCGTTTCCAAGTATCTCTCTACAGAGTGAAGCAAGTGTTTGATGCGAGGCATTCGCGTGCCATTATCGTTCCGCTTTGTCGGCAACTGTCTGGCCTTAGTGGTAGTGTGCGTGAAATGTCTGCGTAGGCCTGGCAACTGTGTACGGCCTGCGCAACCAGATGCCCTCACAAAGGAATGCAGAGATGCCTGTATTGCTACATGACGAGCGAGTGACATTGATTATCGTTGGCCCTAAGTATCCGGTGTAATAATTCGTCAGACGGTTGTCGCAGGTAAGCAGACGCTAATTCGGACTTCGCCAAATTTGCAGAGGCGAGAGACCTCACGTGAGATAGAAAAAGATTCACGTGATCCTCGACGCGCAGACGGGAAATTGGGGAATACGGAAAAGTATCTGCGCCAATACTCACTCTCTTTCTTATCACGACGAGCACACTCTCAGCTCTGTGTAGAAGTGGCAAAATCCATGTTGAGCAAAAGTTTGCCTTGAAAAAGTAAGTCAGCGTGACCAACTTCAGCTTCGGCAGGAAGGTGTTTCGCTCGGAACTACATGCTAGGCTGCAACATGAGAGGACCCATGAAACGACGACTTGGTGAAATTTCTTATTCTTGTTTTCCGATTGCCAACTATTTTATAATGTAATGATCTAGAGCTGTGCCAGATCATCGCTTTACAAGGGCCGCTGTGTGTGATGCGTGCGCATATATCGTGGTGTAAGTCGTAACTTGCTTATGCGTCACTTAAAGGTCAACTATCTAAACGCCTCAATGTTGCATTAATGTTACTCTCAGTGTGATACAGTTCCCCCGAAGGGAAACCCAGTGACATGTTGGGACTAACAAAAGGTGCGTACGTCTGTCTCTCCGGTATTACTTGGTATATCCCTCAATTTCATCTTAATTTCTCATAAGGTAACTAATAGACGTTAGAGTATTTGCAGGTTTCGGGCCTCCCAGAATGCTCATAAAAGGCGCGTCGTACTCGACTTGTAGGACGTGAAGTAGGAAGACGAAAACCCGGAGGACGAGCTACTGTGACAGTCCGCATTCAAGTGTGATTGAGGGGTAATGCCTTGGTACGACTCTTTGGAGAGACTTCCTAGGAAATGCTACAGTCTAACGACCTAGAGCTTTAATGGAATGTGTTTCTACAATGGTCGGGCGCGTCCCGTGCACATATACTGGTCTATGGGTTGTATACAGGTCACGCCTCGGGAGTCTGTCGGGCAGACAAACAAAGCGTGGAGTAAACAAGTCCCCTTGCAACTTGAAGTTACATTAATATTAGTGCAAGTGCAATGGAAGATACAATTATTCTCAGGGGACCGGTGCGATGCTGGGACCAACCGTACAGAAGGTGAGTACCAGTAAACCCGCACCGCCGTCCCAGCTTGATTATTCTCCTGGTTATTTTCGCTCAACATAAGCTAGGTGCTTCACGCTTTATACAGCGCTGCAATCACCCTGCCTCTCGGCACCACTCGCACAGACGCGTCGCAAAATTAAGCGCGTCTGTGGCGGCCCCTTTGTCCACGTGATATGACTCGTGGGAAGCCGAGAGAGGGATGGACCGGAACCTTGCGGTACGCTGGCCGTCCGTGTCAGCGTCCATAACGTCCTGCACAGCTCCGTAACAGGCCTTGCAGCACCGACGGATACCCATCGTGAGTCCTCGCCACTAGATCGTCGGTCCTCAGGCACTGACTACCTTGACTCTCTTTGTTATCGCTCTGCATCGTTGTGCGATGGCTGTTCTGCGTGCGTGCGGTCTCATGTGGTCTGCTATCAGAAGCAGCTATGGATCCGCACAATGGAGAAGGATCTTATGAGAACGGCAGCAAGCCTGGCTCGTCCGTGCAGGATGGCCAGGAAATAGATGTCAAGCAGCAGACGGAAATGGCGGACTCGTTAAAGCGATCCATTACGCTGGTAATATGGTACAAGGTGCGGTCCATGCAATTAGTGATTAGACTTGGACTAAATTTCGAGCAGCCCAACGAAAGCCCAATCCGCTTGAACCACCACGTCCCGTCCTTCCCCCTCTTCCAAATGTCGCACTTTCCCCAGCTCGTATCCGAGCTCAATCTCAACGCCGAATCCTATGTCGATGCGTACAACGACCGCACCGGGCAGTGGGAGCAGCACATGATCACCACGGTGCGCCCTGTTGAGAGCGAGCAGCGGCTACTGTACAAAGTCCGGAAGAGCCTCTTTGCAGGACTCAGTGACGAGGAGTGCGTTGGCCTTGCCGACGAACTGGCATTGCAAGCCAAGGCCCGGGACCCGCAGAACCCGCGACCATCTCCGTATACGAACAAGAACGGCAAGGCGGTGAAATTCCAAGGCGCTGGCGGGAAGAAACGTGCAGCCCCGGAGGAGCCTTCCGCTTCAGCGCCCCCTGCTGCCAAGTATCACATCACCGATTACGGAGCCCAGCAAGGATACATGCTGCAGCATCCCGGCCACGCCTACCCCCAGAACCTGTCGAGCCCCGGCAGCCACCTCGCGGGTGCGTCTCCCATGGGCACGCACGGGCACATCACGCACGTCGCGTACCCATACCAGACCTCGCCCACGCAGTACCCGCCCGCGCCGCTGATGGCGATGGCCCCGTCTTTCCCGCCCCATTACCCGCACCAGGCGCCCCAGCACCACCACCACCCTGCGCAGGCGGCGGGCCCCGGCTCGCCGTTCCACGGGCACGCGCCGGCGGTGAAGCGCTGGCCGAACGACTACACGGTGGCGGAGGTGACGCTGGGCTTCGCGCAGATGGACGGGCTGATGAGCCAGACGCCGAGCATTACGCAGCGCGTTGCGTTCGAGCGCGTGTTCGGGACGCGCTACGTGAAGAGCACGGTGTGCCGCCACCGCGGGGTGTGGAAGCGTGCGGGCAAGGGCGTGGGGAGTATGGGGAACGGGGAGCGGGAGATGTGGGGCGACTTTGTGCGGCGGATCGAGGGACGGCGGGGCGAGATCCCCAAGCCGGTCATTCTGCCTCTTGGTGAGGGCGGCAGTATATCCGGTGCGGATCGAGACGCGTATAACGATGGTGATGGGAGCGGTTCGGCGGACGCGTCCGGAGACCAGGAGGAAGAGGAGGAAGATGCAGACGCCGAGGCGGTCATGGGGTCATTAGGACCGCCGCCGCCGCCGCTCAATAATGGTGACGTCCAGGGAGTTCCTGCACCCATAATGGCCGCTACGAGTGGTATGTCTTCCGAGCCTGTGTACGGAGACGGGTCGCTGATGGTACCATCAGTAGCAGCAGCTTAGTATATAGCTTCGGAGACGCCTCAGTGGGGTCGACACCTTGTATAGACTGTATCATCCGTATTGTTCTCCTTAATTATTTCTGTCTGTACAATACCTGGCAGCTAGAGTGCTGTCATACTTATGCGAATATTACTGAAGTTGACGTCCTTAGATTGATGTTCAAATTTCGAGGATATTTGCCCATTGTCTAGTACGGCCGCGTCTATCACGTGCACGACGGCTTGGACTTCAAAAGTTCAACTTGTCGAGTCTACTTCTCCATAACTTCATCAGCAATCGCGACCCTCGCCAGGGGATTTTGGGCTTTCGGGCCACTCTAGACGGGCTCGTTATGCCCCTGCTCAAGAAGATATTCCATCGGAAAACCAGGTCTGAAAGCGGAATCGACATAAACTGGCCAAGAACTGGACCGACCCAACCTCTGGAAGCGCGACATACGGGTACGGAGAATGGGAAATATTGCTATTGCTGTTCGCCATTTTGTGCTACCTGCGCAGCTCGCATCGATGCCTTAGCCTCCGCGGATCCTGCCCTGCCGGCGACAGAATTGGACATACCGAGGATCGTGGAGAGGATAACGCGTCTGGAGACTGCGCTGGTCCGTTGCAAGCGCGTAGAGGAGGCTCTCCATGATGTGCCCAGTGTTGCTTTGTCCAAGATTCAAGTCCTCCAGGGACAGCTACGCGGGCGTCAAGAATCTTTGAACGTGCTACTAGGCAACGTCGCAAGCTCTGATCCTGTACTGCGCGATATCGTTGCTGCTGTCTCCTGTGGCGAATCTCCCGAGCAAGCACTCCTGGCTCATATCAAGCGTGAGACCCAGGACCCCTCCAGTCCCTTGTGCAGCGTGCTCAAAGCTCCGCCCGTCTTGGGTGTTCGACTACCAGTGCACCTCAAGTCTCACGTCGTCATATGGCTCGGTACGAAGCGCAGACAACAGTCTCAAAGGAGCAAGAGCGTTTACTGGAAGACCGAAGTCCGGAATGTCTGCGCTGACATACTTACGCCGAGTGCATCTGCTGTCTCTAGTATCACTGCCAGTGGGACTCTCACCGCAACTCGGGAAGATGCTCTGAATGTACTGATAGAGAGGCATCGACGGTTGAAGTCTACCATCTCCACCGGTCGGGCCTTCGTGACCGTCGATTTACCGAGCGATCTCTCGTCTGCGCTAGCGGCACCCATGGTCCATGGTCCCGAAGATGTTGAGCTGGCTCCTGGGGCTTCAAGCCGCTCGCTGAACAGCGCTCTGGAACAGCAGTACCCGGCCTCTCTGGAGTTTGCGAACGGTAGCAGCAGCGTCTATAGCTGCTCTTCTTTGCCGGACTCTGTATACACCGGAATCTGCAGGAGCCAGGAAGTAGCAGAACCTTCCCTGATGGTCGCCTACAACTCGCAGGACGTGTTTCTCTCCATCCCTCTGTCTAGTTCTGGAAGCGCTCGCAGTTTGTCTTCTGTTCCCCGTCCATCCGGCTCGCGGAGGAGTCTCTTGATGGCTGTGAACGTGAAACTAGGCCCGATTGCGGAGGCCGAGGAAAATGATGTCGTGCCTAATGCTCGCGAAGTTGATGCCGCGGATGCCCAGGACGAAAATGTGGAGGCCGAAGAGGTGGTGCAATCTTTTTCCATGGACCAACCTATGGATTCACTCATCCTAGAGGAGTGTGTGGATTCAGTGCCCGATGCTGTGGTCCAGGGTTTCCCTTCGTCCCCCCAGTCTATCCTGCTGTCACCGGTGGACGCTAGCTCCCTCAATATCTCTCCTCTTCAACTCTGCTCCACTCCTCGTACGCGGCAGACTGGACTACGTTGCCCTTCTCCGCGGTTGTCTCCCATCTTCAAGTTACTGCCCAAGCAACCCGACGATCTCTTTGGTCCGAGCAGTCCGACGCTCAGCCCGGGAAGTCCTTCCCGCCAGCCCTCGCCATCGAGGCTGCCGGTATTGAAGTCCCGAATGTCGGCTTGCGAGATGAGAGTGTGAGGTGGCGTTTCCAGGCATGTGAAGTTGGTTGTCTCTCCAATGATTATCGATTTGTATTGTGTTACAGGGTGTATTTTGATTATGTCATGGCGTTGGCCTGCTACCATACAACCCCCAATGGAGGCTCGTGTGGGCAAGAACAGTGGATGTTCGATGTTAAAGGACGATTTTAAATAATTTCTGCGGACTCAGGTTGCTTCTTCGCCCACGAAGGAGTACAGGATTCCACGGGATTACGGCATGGCGGATCTACGCACTTTAACTTGAGACAAGGTATGTGTGCCAGAATCTCGCGAGCCCGACCCGAACCGCTCAAGTCGTTAGTCCCACCCTTTTGCTCGGCTTCATACGTTCAGCGTCCTGGCTTGTTTGGGTTCTCACCATCTCGTCTGGGGTCTAGTTTATGCAGCCACACTCTTGACAGCTTGGCTCTGGCTGCTGTCAGTCGGCACTGCCTCGTCAATGGGTCGTCAACTTTATCCAACTCTTCAGCAACGTATCGTTGCCAGGTTTCTCCGACTCCTTTTGGACAATCGTTTCGCGCTTCCATTCTCGCTCTGGTTTTCTGTCTTCTCGACTGCTTCTTTATGCTGCCATACGCTTCCAGATGTTTGCCTCACGCCGACATGACGAGCCGTGGTGCCATAATCTCCGCGTGTTGCTCTATACTTACGTGTCGTCTCCGCTTTTGCCCTTGCTCTATCCCCTCCTCGTGCCGTCTATACCGTCCTTCTCCGCCCTACTTATCTTTCTCACTGGAACTCCCCTCTTCCCGCGGCTAACATAGGTCTGCGGTTGCGTAGTATATTCTGAGTGCCGTAGCCTCTCCCAAAGTGTGGACCCCCCTTGGTCCCCATGTTGAGGCTATTAAGTATAACGTTCACCTGTGCCAGCGCAGGAGCGCTTCAGGCAGTGTCCATAGTGCACATCACGAGGTACAACTGTCAGTGCCTGCTGCTGCCATCTTATAGGGTTCCGACGTCACGGTGAAGGGATTCGTCTGAATCAAACTTCGAGCAGGGCTTGTCCGGATAAATTTCTCAGTGTTATGATTCGCGCATGTACGCAGGCGCTGGCCCCGCAAGCATACTGATCTTGGAAGGGATTAATCGGACTATGTTCCAAACCAGTTATCATCAGAACCGACCTTACTGACATACTCGCGGAAGACAATAACATGTATCATATATATAACAACAGAACGTATGGACTTCAGATCCGACGAGATATTGCAACTGATAGAACTGCGAAAGCTGTGCATATCATCATGCTGGGCCAGAACACATCGGTTGACCAACTGAAATCACGGGAGTGGTCTCCGTCTTCAGTCAATGCGGTTTTAAAATTCATTCTATTGAGTCATCACAGAAGCACTTACTGCGGTTATCTCTTCCACGCATGTTAATCACTTGGAAGATATCTTGCATCTGCACCTCGCGGTTTGTGCGACGTGCTGCAGCCGACGAAATCTTAACGATAGTCTTGATGTCGCGACCGGTCAGGGGAAGCTGACTCAACTCCACCACGTGTCTTTCAATGGACTCCAGCGGAATGTCAGCTTTCGTCAGGAACACAGTCCATAGATTGGCTCGCGCTGTCGCATCTGGCTGAGTATAGGAGAGCGAAACATGGACGCGAGACATCATAGCTTCATCAAACACAGAGGCACGACTTGTAGTGAAGAAGAGGATGCCAGGACAATATCTGCAGAGCGTATTATCAGTGGTAGTACATAGGGCTCAAAAAGACGCAAACGCACTCGAGTTGTCGCAAGAACACAGCCACAGTAGCATTACGCTCTACGTCATCGTTCGAGTCTCGCTTCTCCAGGAAGATATCCGCTTCATCTATGACCACTATTGCTTTCCATCGATACGCGAGTACGAAAATCTCTCTCAGATTCTGGTCCAATGCATATGGTTCGGTTCCCAGGTTACTGGTACCAACAATATAGAGCGGGCTTTCGGTGACTGTAAGGAATCATTATCACTTTTTTGAAGACAGAGGTTGCACAACACTCTGACCTTCACTTGTTGCCTCAGCAGTCAATGTTTTGCCCACACCCGGGGGACCTATAGTGAATTGACCGCATCATCAATCCAGATTTGGAGAGTGTAATACGATACGTTATAAGACTCGACCTACCATGCAAGTTGACAACGAGACCAAGTCCCTTCCCTTGGACGAAGTCATCAAACGAGCCTCTTCTGCGGGATGACAATGCACGTGATTCAACGAGAGACTTCAAGAGCGCCTTCTCTTCGTTTGGCAAGGTGAGATGCCTGAACATCTCTTTCTTCCATTGTATCATCTCGATTTCTTCGACTTTGAATATCACTTTAATAAAATAGAGAATGTTAAGGAACTGTTTTGAGAGGAGGATCTCAATGACATACACCATGTTAGGTCAGAGAGACAAAATCCGTATGCAACAGCGGGCATCAAGAGAAGCTCTCCATCCTCGAGAAACTTCCTGGAATCTGCACTAGGGGGATTGCCGTCGAGGTCTGTCTTCAACCTAGGAGCATCCATGAAGTGGTGTGTGTAGTACATGTCTAAAGTGGTGTCAGCGGAGCCTTGCGAACAAGAGACGATGATTAAGTTCGCTGCAGACGAAAGTAAGACGCACCCCGATCAAGAACAATTTGCGATCTGACCTGCACCAGCACATATTATCAATGGATCAGAATATTAGTTATGTTGTGTTCTTACCGAGACTGTCTTGTACTGATACGTGTAAGCGGTACCGTGGTAGGTTCGATGGCAGATCTCTGCAGCTACCTGTTTGTACGCCCTGCCTCGAGCAACCAGTTCAGTGTGATATAGAGAAGATTTTCCGTCGCTGTCAATAGGCCACAAAGGAAGGTCTGTTATCTTCCTGATCCCTGAGAAGTAGTAGACACTCAGTTCTCTTCTTGTAAAGCCTGGGATTCCTCCTACGATGTCGACGTATTCAACAATAATCTGCCAATAATCCAGGCAAAAGTCGTCAAGATGCCGTGATAAAGAGACGAGTCGAACAGCACAGCGCTCATGGGTAATAGGGCAGTCTGTCAGGAAGATGAACCCCGGTATCAAAACTCCCCAGAGTAAGTCGAATTCGATGGAGCCCTCTTGCGTCAGCATATCTATCTTGCCCAGAATGTCTTCATATTCTCGGCTCAGGAAATCAACAAAATGCTGCGTCTCCCTGATAATGTAGTGGTCCTTCCCGGTGCGAGGTCCCCTTCGAAGCTCCTCTAAGTACTGCTTGAAAGCGGGGATGAGGGCAAGGATGTCCTCCAGGGGGAGCTAGAAGAGATTAGACTTGCTCGACAACCAGAGACACCACTCACTTTCAGGGGCACTTCATCCCAAGCAACATCATGACGACCAACCATTATATATTTGGCGGCGGCAATGAAGTTCGAACTACGAACGATGATATACCGTGTGATAGTGAGGTGGCCGTCCTGAATACCATACCCCCTCACTATTGAGAAAGCATAGTCTGGATGGGAAACCGTGCGAAATGTTTCCGCAGTGTTGAAAGGCTCTTCCGTGACCGCACAGTCCTTGTATATTCCGTCGGCAGTGTCCCACTTACGATGGAAACGGCAATGTTCAATAATGAGGGGAATGTCCTCAGGGTGGTCGTTGGTGCCTTCCACGCACTCGCTGCTCTTCATACTGTAGGTATTAAAGAAATGAACCAAAGGGCTAGGAGATATTAGGATGAGAGGGACTGGCTGAAAGCGGATAGTAAATAGCTGCTCCACCAAGGGCGGAGCTTTAGAACCCCCGTTGGACGACCGCGACTACTAGGCCCTTCGGGATTACACGATGGGAAGGTCAGAAGCCCAAGTCCTTCTGGAATTGACTTCCAGTAATCTCACCGTTTGGCGCTCCAGAAACGGAGAATAAATTGACGACATGCACCCGCATTCAGCACGATAAGACCACGCGTTCTGCTTTGGAACGATCTAAACCTTGATAGTTCAGGACCCTCGGTAGAGCCCCAACGGATCGGTAGAGTTACACGGACGTCGGTGGTCTAGTAGCCTGGAGCCGGTCTGTCGTTAAGCGCGGATCGCCACGAGTAGCATTCTTACCCCAGTTGTGGTCAGGCTTCATGCAGGGCAGATTTCTAAGTCTGGTGAATGTAAACTTGGTATACCCCACTTGCAAAACTCGTGTTCAGACTCGAAACCGGTGTCCTCATCATGACCCAAATGTGGCACTAGGAACGTACAATGATCAAGAACAAAGAGAATCATTGACATCATATAGACTTAACGATGTAGCATGGGCAACGAGATAACAAGAGCAAAACGAGAACTTGGTGCCCCACGGGCCACGGGCGTCCATTGGGGATCGCAAGCGCTCGCGATCAGTCGCGACCGGACATCTCGAGAATTATACGATATTCATATCCAGCGCTAAGTGAGCGCTAAGTGATGACACGCAATACTGCATGATACGGTGATGACTCGGGGACAGGACAACTGTGGGAGTTCATGCAAAAATGTTGGTCAAAAGGATAAACAGCCAATCAGAAACCGGCTATTCTAAGTGAGTAAATGTAATATGATTCGATTTTCTCACGGCAACAATGGTGTAACTCCCGGGACTGGAATGTTAAGCTCCGAGTGATATGCGATTGGTTGGCCATTAAGGAGGGAAAATAGGCTTCAAATCATCCTTCCAAGTCTTTCGAACCGTGATCAGGCGCCGTATGTCCTCAATTCTTTGGAAATGCCAGTGATTCGTAGAATGGACTGAATATATCGCTGATCACAATCCGTCACCAGAAGTAGCTCATGCGACATCGAATCTGTTGTATCATCCCGGTTCCAGCCATTTGTCTAATGTAATAGTAGTCCGCACTTCTGCCCATGGGACTTCTCCTGTCATCGGTATGCACGAGTCCGAGCGAGGTATGGTAGGCAATGGTATTTACGCCGACAGGGACACTCAAATCTCCACTCAACAAGTGATCCTTGGTGGGAGCCGCGCCTATCTCCATGCATGAGGTGTTCCTGATCGCAACCCAGCCCACTGTCATTATACTATTACAGACATCTCTGCGAGTGTCGCTGGTATAAAAGGCAACGCGAGGAGTCTCCCGAAAGAATTATCTCGGGTTTCAGGTGCTTCATGGCTCCCAGCGACAGTCATACCCTTTCTTCTCGCTCTCCGTCTCAGCGACAGGACTCCGATATGGGTGGACTGGACTTGCGTCCCCAGCTTCAGGTTGGCAGAATCAAGATGATTTGGGAAAAGGAGAAGGGAGAATACGTGCCTAAGCCTGACGACCTGGGATCAAAACCTGATGAAGATGCTGAAGAGAAGATAGACCCTACCTGCCCGATATCCGTTGTTCGGAAATTTCATGACTACAACAGTGTCCATGTGATGCTACATGTCTCTTCAGTTCCGTTCATCACTGCTGCCCAAGAGGTTATGAAAAGCAGAAGTGACATTAACTGGAAGAGCCGGATTGTGAAAGTGAGTTGTCGTATTCATACTAGGGAAAATGGTCTAAGTGAATGCCAAGTTTGAACCCGAGGAATTACTTGCATTTCTCCCTCAATTTCAAGCTCACTTGACAAAACTGAAGGAGGTTCTCGGAGCATGCACCATCCAAGATAGTGAAAGATGTGTCGCTAAGTTTCACCTGGAGTTCATTCTCGGATTTCTGGAAAGTGAATACAGAGAATGGCTAACCGAACTCCGCACCCACCTGGAGACACGAGAAATCACATTCGATTTGCTATGGGGTATGATGATTCCTGGTACACTTCTTTTTTGGCCATGTTCAACAACAAAAGATGAGGTGGTTGTCCGTCTGGTCTCCCTCGAGCTAGAAATCCCCACTGGTCATGACAAGGATGAAGTGAAGCATTGGACACTCAGATGCGAGTCCACTGATGTTGATGAATGCAAAGGTGGTATGGTCTATCACAAAGTCGAAATCCCACTTTTCCATGGACCCAAAGGGATCAACCGGCTGGAGATATATCCTATCACATTTTATGGCTCAGATGGAGAGATTACACAGCTGAGGCATCGGTTGCAGAAGCGAGGGGAATATTACACCAAATTAGTCAGTGATGGTTGGTGCCACAAATCATATCATGGGATCGCTTTTGCAGGGCACGATGGCAAGGTATCGGTGAGTGCATTTGTAGACGCTCGATAATTCCTTCTCTCACCTCTCATGTCCTAGGTTAACTCGCGCATAATAATTGATCGTGGTGAGCACCTTACTCTGCGCTTGCACATATGTAGCTGAACAATTGACGACCTGGGTATAGCCATGTTTGAAGAATATTCTTACCCCGAGCCGTCGAGTCTTGACGTGGATCTCGAAGGCAAACGACGTGGATCAGATTCGAGGCCACCTGAGGAGGAGATTGAATATATCATGATGCCTGCTGTAGCATTCGGTTACTCCCTCACCGAGAGGGAGTGGTGTATGTACCACATTCTTCCTTATGAATGATGTACCAACCTGCAGAATAGTGCGGTTCCAAGTCAAAGACATCAAACCTATTGAATGGTCCCCGGAAATATTCAAGGAACTGGAGTTCCATGACCAAGGAAAGGATTTCCTCAAATCACTGATTGAGTCACATACCAAGGAGGGCCAGAAAACATTCGATGACTTTGTGCCCGGGAAGGGCCAAGGGTTGATATTCAACCTCCACGGTGAGTGATGTCTTAGCAATATCCTGCTGAGCTGACTGTGGACTGCAGGTCCACCGGGAGTGGGAAAGACCTTAACCGCAGAGGCAACCAGTGAAGGTATGTCTGTCTCAGAACTATCTAGCTGCTTCAAAGTGAGGCTAATGCTATGGCCTTACAGTTACCGGAAGCCCGCTGTATATCATGGGGGTCGGCGACCTAGGTGCAGAGCTGGAAGCCCTTGAGAAAAACCTCAGAAAGGTCTTTGCACTTGCCTATCGGTGGAAAGCGGTGGTCCTCATTGATGAAGCGGACGTCTTCCTCGAGAAGCGTGGCTTGCATGGGATAGAGCGCAATGCGATGGTAGCTGTTCTATTACGACAAATTGAGTGCGTTTTCGTCTTCTTGTATCTAGTCTCTCATGGTAACAAGGGTCTGATGCTTCAGGTACTACCCTGGCATTCTCTTCTTGACAACCAACCGCATCAAAGTGTTTGATGAAGCAATGATGTCACGTATTCACCTTTCATTTTACTACCCACAGCTTGACGTGGATGCACGGGCAAGATTATGGAAGGCATTCCTGAGCAGAACGAACCTGCGCATCTTGGAGGAGCAATCCCTTGTGTGGTTGAGTAAACTTCCTCTCAATGGCCGTGAGATCAAGAACATCGTCAAGCTGTCCTCTGCTGTTGCGGAGTATAATAACCACACATTATCTTTCGAAGATATCCGTGGAGTGGTGGAACTTCGAGGAGAAGATCTCGGTAAGTCTCTGGTAGTCCAAGAGTCATTATGCCGGTACGTCTTAATTGGCGGCCCCTTACAGATTACCAGCTGCTTCCGAGCTATGAGTCAAGTCACCTATCAGCTGCATTTTACTCTGGTTTTATCCTCTGCGCATCAATCCTGGCCTTCTCGCTTGTCCGCCGCCAATGATGGCTGGCAGATAGAAATGGAGGTTAGCGAATATGCTTGACCTACTTACGCCAGACTAGATTTCTATCCTATTATAATTATCTTGGCAAAATGTCTACCGTGATCTTGAAATTTCAGCTAAAGTCTTACTATGGATAGCAAGACTCTGGTTGTGGTTACAATCATGCTCTGCGGGCGCCAGGCGGACGAGTAACTGAGGAATATGCACCGCACATCCCCGAAGGATGTCTATGAAGGGACACACACAGACTCAGTGACGGAAGCAAACAGTCTCCATAGATCACTCATCATTTCACCACGATTTCCTGATTTCAGGTACTTGGGCACCACTGCCACACCAGAGCCTTTTATACCCTTAGGTAACCAGAGCACCCTGACCATAAAAGTGAATTCATAAATTGTTGAATAAATATGGTGTAAGTGAGTGCTACGCAACCTATCCACACAGCTCGACCCACCATTGCCACCACCGCTGGAAGATACGGAGGGAGCGAGGTAACCTGTCACACAATGGTATGATTCAGCACGTCCTTATATGATAGAGTGATGACCGGAAATCCAAAGAGCATAGTAGTACAAGAACATGTTTGAAGATCCAATTCTCCTCGCACTCCGTGTTACTGTTTACAGTATGTCAGAACTTCTACGGCGACGGCAGAGACATGAGTGAGAGTGTCCTTGACAACTGTAAGGTGCCGGCTGGTCACTAGCGGTAACTGGCTATCGGCAGATATCACACCTTCACTTCCAGCTCCCCACCGGCATCGGTTCGATGGCAGCCCGGGGATTAACACCCAGGAAGTGTCGTTGATACAGGGCCCATTCCAGGAGGTGGCAGATGTTGCTCGGTGGTACTTATTCCCTGCCGTGTTCAGGTCCCTTACGGTTGGTTGGGCTAGTGTGGGGGAGGTGGCATAGATACCTAGAACTTGAGCTCAGAGTATGTGAACCCGGAGAGTGGAGGGATCCTGTCACCGAAGTATGATTAATCATTCTCCTGTTTGCACTGTCACGGAAATTGGTGTCCGAATCCTGGCATTGCCCGACAGGCCAATTCACAGCAGAGCGGCTGGTGTGAAGCACCACAAGCAGTAATCATTGAATCTGCCTAACATGTGAGAACAGTTAAGCATGTACAACTATTAGTAGAGACTAAAGGGTCCTGATGCGAACGATCGTTTATTCTCCTGACCGATTGCCTGGCGATGTAAGCAAGGCGCGGGAGGACAGTGAGCAAGCAACACTGAGCGATATGAGCGACTCTCGGCCCACAAAGGGACTGCAGCGGTAGGGGGAGAGACCTAAGGAGAACTTGGAGGGCACAGATATTCCCTCTCATTCGCGAGTCGCAGCTCAACGCTCATACTACGGGCTATCAGACTCTGGTGGAGACGAGAGGATAGAGCGGAGGCAGAAGCGAGAAGGGACAGGCCTATCTCGAGAATCACATAGGATGGAGATCCACGATGAGGGCCGCTAAAGTTGTGGCATAAATTGGCGAAGCTCATTTACTCGGCTCCGGCCATCTTCGCCGCTGTCAGGCCTCTTCAATGTACCCGAGGCTTCTGCATGGACCGCCGTATCATCCACCAATGGCAGCTGCCAGCTGCGTCTCAAATAAAGCCCAAGCAGTTGGGTCAGAGGAGAGGATACATATATATTAGCCCTGGCGCCTCCAGCACGTGGGCGCTAAACCACAACCCTAATGGCAATGTGCAGCAAACAGAAACGTTCTAGTCTCCCGAAGTCAGACCGTATTGCCTCCCTTGTAAGGCAGGTGGAGGGCGGTCGACATATAACGAAACGTTCCCACTCACGGATGATCCGCGTGCCTGTACAAGTTCTACTAGCTGTTCAACTCTGCCGTTCATCTTAGCTATCAACATTGTTTCTGCTCCCAATGGAGCTAGTACGTCTCCAGAATGTCTGCACGACTCGGAGATGCCAGTAGTGCGGGATACCGGGTATTCTGCCTGCGGCTCGTCGTCCCGTCTACTACACAGTTGGCTCGGCTCGGACACCAATACAAACCCGGTGTCTTCAAGCCCTATACACTTCATTCTATCGATCCGGCTGCAAGTGGGGAGGTACTTCTCCACTCCCTCACAGAGAATAAGACGTTTAGCGCTCAGCGCAGTCATGGAACGGTGAGCATATTAACGACCGTTGTTTCGTTTCCCGGAGTGTCAGAGGAGATGCGGCATTAAGGGTAACGAGCACGTCGGATAGACTCCAGGGTGCTGTCGTGTCAGCATTGCATGCTGCGCCTTGACCTCGACCTACGATGCAAGTTGAAATGAAATGACGCTGTGCGACAAAGTCTACTCAGTGAAAGTTTGCTGAAGAACGACGTCAGCTGCTAGCACTTGTACGTTCTTGCTACTTAAAAAAAGTTTTTTCTCATTCGTTGACATGCCGGTCCCTGTAAGCTATCTGCCTCCCAGCGCTTTATCTCGTCATCAAACCGAGATCGCGTGGGGTGACAGTGGAAGTATGTCTGTTTGACTTCCTTGATGCAGCTTGGCCTCGCATGACAGAAGAGAGAAGTTACCAAGTAGACGCTCACACATTCTCACTAACGTGAAAAGGTTTTCTCTTCATGACAGGCTTACCGATGTGAACTAAGGACCTTCCTGAGAGTCTGGCAATTGAGCTCGAAAGATGAGAGTTCCTAGTTGAAGCGCATCTAGCGCTCATACCAATGTGACAGGTTTTTCTTGGTCCAGTTTATACATATGGCGTGGCTAACTGCTGGAGTTTTGTCTCTCCATTTAGTGAAGAATAAAAGAGTTCTGCTTTCAGGTATGCCCAGTGCCGATTAATGCGACAGGTCTCCCTTGGGCATTTGGCAAGTTTATTTCATCCAGGCTAATCACCTCCCCAGACATTGCCTAGTAATGAAATTAAGGATGTATGGGTTGATGGTAGAGATATGTGTGTTTGAATTCATCAATGCGGCCATGCCTCGAAAACCAGAGAATAAGTTTTTCTCAGACACATGAGCCCCGTGAGCACTGGTGGGTTCCTGTCATTTACGGAAAGTGTTCCTCGTACATTAATACCCTGTCCAGGTCGGTCCACCAACTTCCGGGCTCGGAGCTTCGTGTCGTAACCGAAGAAAGAATACATGGAGCATAGTTGAGGTCCGTCTGGCACTCATATATTACTAACACTGCCGGTTTCCTTGTTCCTTGCCTTGTGGATTGAGTAACAAATGATACGGTGCTCCCAATTTGACCAGCATGAAATTGCAATGGAATCTTGGGCATTAAAGAAGTTATGGAACAGAATTCTCTGGAGAACGGTGCTGTACTACACTGATCAATGCATGAGGCTGATAGCACTCATACGCTTTCAGCCACGCAAAGGGTTTCTCTCATCTATCGATAGGCGTGTACATGCACGCGAATTAACTCCTGAAGCCATTTCCCGCGACTCAAACAAAAAGTTAAGGGTTGACAGTTGTGGTACACCTGAGAAATAATGTGGATGTGACTGACCTCCAGTATCAGTGGCGAGGAATACTCTGTACACCCAGCATCCCAAGCTGGGATGGCAAATGATCACTTAGATGGGGTTTGACTCTTACAGCAGTATGGAAGAATATTCTGAAATTATGCTCTACATGTGTCCGGACCGGTGCGATAACCTCATTATTAAGAGATGGAGCAGCATCAGGTATCGTCCTGAGTTGAGTTACTGAGTAAGTAAAGGTACGAATGCCAGCGTAAGGAGTTTACCTCGTTATTGTCACCCTCATCCTCGTCCAGTATCTCTTCTCCGTTGTCATCTAAGACATTCCAGGGTGGCGGATAAGACTTGAGCTCGAACTCTTCGTCGGCTTTGTCTTCAAGTTCTTCCGGGCCTCTAATTTTTGAAAATAGATTCTTGAAGCGATGCACCTTCCCCACCTTCTCTAAGGTGTACAAGGGATGGAATGTGAATTTCCCATTTCCACCTGCAGTTCGCCACATCCCGTTTGTCGCGAACTCCTGCCACTTTCCGGACACTGATCCTCCCACCTCATTTAGTGACAATCCTACAGCGGCTTCGGCACCACGACTGGCGGACTCAGTGAGCACTACAGATAGGATCAAGTGAGGTTATTATCCCGCAATTTTGTATGGTTCACTCACACAATGCGTACATAGGGCAGGCCATAAGGCTCGTGACAAGGAGCTTCCCTTCGAGTGCCTTGGCCACTTTAGAATGAAGATTGTCCTTCTTCTCGATAATCCATTCGACTGGCTTATGTAGGACAACGACCGCTCCTCGACGGTTGTCGAAAATCCATCGTCCCTTGACGGTACAGTTCGCGAATTCAGGGAGGCCTCTGGGTCGCGTCAATAATGCATGCAACACAATTCTAGCACTCGACCTGCATATTGAAGTTTGCATCCATCCTTCTGCCACCCCGGGATACCACCACCAGATTGTCTTCAGGCGAGCATTGCTTCAGTGGATGATGGCTCGATACATCCAGGTCTATAAAATTGTCATCGTAGATGTTTCCCTCTGACTGAAATATTCCTGTCTCTTTGTTCATAGTTCCGTATTCTCCGACCTATGCGATGAAGTTCCAGCCTCTACCTATTCGCAAGCAATGGTACATACCCGTACAACGTTCCTGTTGGGGGCTAAATTCCCGTACCAGATACTTGCATTCCTGATGAGGTCTGCAAAAAGACGACTGTTCCGGTCCGTAGTCATGGTCAAAGGACAACCTATGATCAGCATAGGCGTGGGGACCTGAGGAACTTATATCCACCAGGCAAGTCGCGCTCTCATTTCCTACAATAACCTTATCGATGTGCAGCCCTTCATTGGCGCTCAGTGTATCCTCTAACTGTATTGGAGCTTATCAGGGTTCTTTATAGAGTGCTATCATTGCGCGGGGGCACGTGTATCGATAGACTCGATTAAGGGTAAGATATGTTGTAGCTGGCATATTTTGTGTGCCTCATTTAGATCTACCTGATGTATTATATCCACAGCTTAATTCAGGATTGATGCAGAGGTCATGGAAGTTTCTCAGCCCTACTCGAAATCAGGAGATTGAAGGGTAGGCCCGATACTCCGAACCGGGGGACCCTTCCAGGTACAATTCAGTTCTCCGCTCATCTAGGTACATTCGATTGATATCTCGACCAGTTCTCACTGTCCAGCTTCCGCTGCCAACTGCCAACGGTACAGACTGACGATTCCGAAGGCCTGGCTTCGTAATATCTCCAACTAGGCGCGCTATATTCTCTCCTTGACGATGGGTCATATGTTCTTCTTTCTTTTTATACTGCGTCTTCTGGGTGATACTGTAGAGACCGCTATACTTAGCGTGGTGTTCTCCCAAGTGAAATTCCACGGCTGCTTCGGACGGTATGTAGCGTACTATTCAGAATCCGACGTTGAATCACCAACTGAATTCCCGCGTTTCTCGTCATTCAAACAAGCTGCTGGCCGTCTTATATCTCATCCGCTCTTGATGATGGGTTAGATGTTTTCAGTCTTCACGTTATACGGTGCTGACTGCGTTCTACGATGCTAGATCATTATATAAACATAGCATGCCCTTGCTTGCAGAGGTTATACGAGTATGTAACCCTTGTTTCTCACTTCAGTCTATACTCACTCGAATGCGTCATCAGAGGGTCTCCAGAGGTTCTAGAGGTTCCGGAGGGTGTCAGTCCTCACTCGTCACAGAATGATGATTTCAGACTAGTTTTGACTATACTACCGTCAGTCCCCCCTATACAGTCACTCAAGCAGGACAGTTGACACGTTTCTAGGTGTACCAAGCACCCCGAGGTTCAAGTCAGATATGCCTATCTCGCTCTTGATCTGGAGAAAGGTGTCCAAAGATGCCGGGATGCACTGAACGGCGAAAGCTCCTTACAGGCGCGACTGCCTCATCTGGCTACTATGGCGCGTTTTCACCACTGGCTCTTCCTAAAGAGAGGGGGAAGAGACTTCCTTCTGCTCGCACGGACGGAGTTAGACCGGTATTTGACCCTTTCAAATGCCGACGCCTACCACAGGGCATTGCACGAAGCAGAGTTGGGAGTTTATTATCATTCATCCTTTCACAAATTCCGACCTGCATACTCGTACCAAGACGGGGATAAGGCAGTGGAATATTTGAAGTCTGGTTTACGCAGGCTAACACCTTCGGACGCGTGCCTCTCCTCATACCTTCAGAAGGAGCTAGGTTGCCTACTGCTCTGTCACTTCGAGCGCTCGCCGAACATGGGAACCCTGAGGGGTGCGTTCTTTAGTCTGCAGCGGGCTATGGAGCTAATCTGCCGTCCCCATGATTACCATGGCCTTGCTGCTTGCACGTCGCATCTTGTGCGAGCTCTGTTGACACGATACAACCACGAGCACAAGCCCGAAGACTTGGATGATGCTATCAAGCATCAAGATACAGTTCTTGAAGTGTTGCCTGGTATTGCTATAGCTGAGCCCAACTGGGCAGTCGAAGAGTTCGGTAACCTGGTAACGAATGCTCTAGCGTCCTCCAGCACTCTTTTGGCCCAACGATTCACAATTACAGGCCAACGAGAGGATATAGATGCAGCTCTTGGCCACGCGGAAAGAGCTGTGTCCTTAGCCAAGCAAGCTGGGATCAACGGTGCAAAGGCGGCCAACTGCTTCACAGGCTGCCTACTGACACGCTTTCGTGCATACGGCTATGTGGAAGACATTAACAACGCCGAAAAACTGGTCGCTGATCACAAGGAGATCGAGTATGCGGCTTCCATCGGCGAACTCCTGCTAACTGTTTTCGAACGCTTTGGGGATCGCCAATACATTGACTTCGCGATACGATGCCTCGGAAATGCACTTAATCACTGCGTCGAGCAGCGCAAGGCCGCCTACAAACGACAGCTGGGCGGATACGACATTCCTACTCGAATCTTCGGCGAGCTTTTGAGAGCCCACCTATCCGCATTCACTACACCCTTTGGAGGATACGAAGCAGGAGCAATGTCACTTGCTTCTGACGAGGAGGACCGGATCACGTCGCAGCTAGGAAGAGCCCTGGCTATGCGCTACGAATCTGCCGAGCTTCGCAACGAGAATGACATCAAAGAAGCAATACGGCTTCAGCGGGTCGTCTTAGGAAGGACATTCAAGGACAGTCAGTTCTACATCGAACGTCTGTGGTCCCTAGGGGTATCGTATCGCATCGGTTATGAAAGGTCACATCGTAAGGGAGATATAGAACGGGCAATATCTGTACTGCATGAGGCGCTCATTCTGGCCTCGGAGCAGGGAAATATTCCTCATCACGTACAGCTTTGGACTTCCCTGGCCGAATCCCTACTGCAACGATATGCGCATAGGGATGACCTCCACGATAATCAAGATTTTGAACAAGCTGTTGACTACCTGAGGAAGGCTGCTACCTGCGATTTTGGATTTACTTTCGATCGTCTGAAAGCCGCGGTAATATGGGCATCATCCCTACATAATACAACTCACAGGTTGAGATCTAGAGCCCCGATATCCGTGGATAGCGAACGAGAGGTGCTGGAATTGGCACTCGAGGGCTACAGTCATGCTATAAAGTTGTTAGCGAGAGCTGCCTTCATCGGTGTCAGTGTACCTTCGCGGCTGGCCCAGTTGCTCAGCGTCCCCAAAGGTCTAGCCAGCGATGCGGCAGCATGTGCATTCAGACTGCACGAGTTATCTGATTCGAGAAGCCGAGCTCGCTTCTTGGAAAAAGGAATAGAGCTTCTCGACTCTGGAAGGACCATACTATGGTCGCAGGCCGCGCAAGTCCGTCTTGAATTGGAACGCCTGAAACGCCGAGACACATGCTTATCCCAGGAGTTCGAGGAGCTAGCGAGACGCCTAGGCTTTTTCAATATGCAGGACGTTTCGATTGAGGCGATGGAATACGTGTCCAGGACATTGGACCAGAAGTGGGAAGAATTGGTGGACAGAGTGAGAAGATTACAGGGATTTGAGGACTTCCTTTCTCCCATCCGCTTCTGCAAACTACAGCAGGCGGCGGAACGGGGAGTAATTGTCGTCGTCAATGTCAGCCACCACAGATGCGACGCTTTGGTCCTATTCCAGAATGGGGGCCTACATCTCGTGACCCTTGAACAGATGACAAGGGATGCTGTAGAAGACGACGCCAAGGATTTCCTCGGCCTACTGAAAGAAGGGGGCCAAAGAGGGAGATTAAGACAGATACTAGGTCGTCTCTGGGACACACTTTGCAGTCCTGTACTCGGCCGTCTTAAGCAGCTGCGCGTTATATCAGAGGAACAGGAACCCCCGCACATCCGCTGGTGCCTTACAGGAAAGCTTTCATTCCTACCAATCCATGCCGCAGTTCCTCGAGGAAAAGAAGCGAAGGGGATGCTCGACGTTGTCATATCTTCCTACATACCCTCACTATCCATCTTTTCGCGCGCAGAGACCTGGCACAACTTTGCCGAACCGGGTATACCCTCTTCCGAGCACCAGGTTATTGATTCTACCCGTGGATTGCCCGTATCACCGTACGTCGCGGTGAGAATCAGCTCGAAGCACCAGCAGTCAAAAACGGACCCGGCGTCGGCGACGACACTGCCATCACAGCAGTCAATGGAGTACAACCCACCCGGCGTCCGGGGCGGTGTTGAAGCCTTAGCATCGCGTAATCTCAGTGGGTGCGTACTGGAATGTAACGTACGGCTAAGGCTGACATGCCTCTAGTGACGCAATTGCTGCGCCTGCTACGGATAGGACACCTTACTCTCTCGCTGGAAGGACGAGTACAGCCCATGCACAACGGGGCAGCCAATATCCAAGGGTGCTTGCAGTGCGTTTCTCCCCGACCTCCAGCGCGCGTCATCTTTCCCATGTGGAGACAGAGATGGCCAGACTCCAAGCTCATGCTGGTTCAGAGCACGATGTCGAAATTATCGCGAGCGGGAGTTCCATGCTCGCGGCACTGAAGCGCTGTGACTGGGTCCATTTCGCATGCCATGGTAAGCAAGATGCCAAAAACCCTTTGAACAGCTCCCTAGCACTAGGGGATGGGGATATACCCCTTTATCGCATAGCGTTCGAAGCAGAGGCCAAAGGCACCTTTGCGATGCTCCTGGCCTGCGAGACAGCGAAAGGCAGCCCGGGATTTTCCGACGAAGCTCTGCACATTGCAGCAGGACTCCAATTCGCTGGTTTTAGGAGCGTTATAGCGACGATGTGGAGAATGACAGACAAGTTGGGCCCTGTGATAGCTGACGCAGTATATGGGCACATGTTTGAGACCGTAAAGAAAAGGAGTGACAGTCCGGACGGTAGCAATAGCCCTCCTCAGGATGGAAACGCTGCGATCGCTCTCAGAAATGTCATGCTCTCTCTGAGGGCGAACGCGCGGGTGAAATGGCACGAATGGGCGACATTCGTTCATTACGGCTAGATGGTGGTTTCTCGTGTATTTCTGCTCTCCTAGCACCGACGTTTGACTATGACAGAATCGCGGTTCCTAAAAGATTAAAAGGCGACGGCGACTACAAGAAACAGTCATCCAGTCTCACTGTCATCTCTATTACTCGTTTTCTGACGGGCTGCCCTGTCGGCTCAGAGTCACCATACTGTACATAGACCAACGGGCGAGCGCTGAAAGTAGGTTTTGCTCACGGCCGTGGTGCCTGCAACACTTCGGGCACGAGTCGGTCGCTATATACATTACGAACGTTCGAAGATGCAAGGTGCCGCGAGTAACTGTGTGTTTCGAAGAAGAATCACGATGTCGATCCCGCCCTTATCCTCTCACTCCAGTACGGCATCAGGAAAAGCCCGAAGCTCTAATCGCCCATGAATCATGATGAGCTGGCAAGCTAGCTCGGCTAAATTGACTACAAGCATTTGTAGTGGGCATTACCCCGAAGTTTGTAGTGATGATAAGTATGATTTTGTAGTTGGACTACAAACATCGTGTATTGAAGGGTGCAGAAGCCAATCAGAGACCGTAAATCGAAACCGACGCGGCTCCCACGCTTACAAACATCTAATGAGCCTGAAATCGAGTGTCTGAGGAAAATGTGTCCTAATGTGTCTAACGGTCTGCGCAGCCTGAAGTTAGACTCTCAGACGATTCCGGGTTTTACTGATGGCCGACCAGCAGCACAGGGGCATCTGCCGCTCATATCTCGTTGCTCGATGTCTCAAGAATGTTATACACGGAGACCCTCAGTGTTTAGAACGAGGTGAACATCGTGAGTGGATGTGTCCTATAGTTCGGTAGCTTGTTTCAGTCTGTGACTCTGTCTGGTATGGTCGCGTCTATCACGTGCACGACGCTTCGGGAGGCTTGAACTTCGTTCATGCACAACTTCGTCGGCGACTAAAAGCCTCCTGAGGAGATTTTGGCTTTCCGACCCACTCTAGACGCGCTCGCTCAATAAGATATTTTATGGGAAAACTACTGGCAGGTCTGAAAGCGGAATCGACATAAACTGGCCAAGAACTGGAGCGACCCAACCTCTGGAAGCGCGACATGCGGGTACGGAGAACGGGAAATATTGCTATTGCTGTTCGCCATTTTGTGCTACCTGTGCAGCTCGCATCGATGCCTTAGCCTCCGCGGATCCTGCCCTGCTGGCGACAGAATTGGACATACCGAGGATCGTGGAGAGGATAACGCGTCTGGAGACTGCGCTGGCCCGTTGCAAGCGCGTAGAGGAGGCTCTCCATGATGTGCCCAGTGTTGCTTTGTCCAAGATTCAAGTCCTCCAGGGACAGCTACGCGGGCGTCAAGAATCTTTGAACGTGCTACTAGGCAACGTCGCAAGCTCTGATCCTGTACTGCGCGATATCGTTGCTGCTGTCTCCCGTGGCGAATCTCCCGAGCAAGCACTCCTGGCTCATATCAAGCGTGAGACCCAGGACCCCTCCAGTCCCTTGTGCAGCGTGCTCAAAGCGCCGCCCGTCTTGGGTGTTCGACTACCAGTGCACCTCAAGTCTCACGTCGTCATATGGCTCGGTACGAAGCGCAGACAACAGTCTCAAAGGAGCAAGAGCGTTTACTGGAAAACCGAAGTCCGGAACGTCTGCGCTGACATACTTACGCCGAGTGCATCTGCTGTCTCTAGTATCACTGCCAGTGGGACTCTCACCGCAACTCGGCAAGATGCTCTGAATGTACTGATAGAGAGGCATCGACGGTTGAAGTCTACCATCTCCACCGGTCGGGCCTTCGTGACCGTCGATTTACCGAGCGATCTCTCGTCTGCGCTAGCGGCACCCACGTTCCATGGTCCCGAAGATGTTGAGCTGGCTCCTGGGGCTTCAAGCCGCTCACTGAACAGCGCTCTGGAACAGCAGTACCCGGCCTCTCTGGAGTTTGCGAACGGTAGCAGCAGCGTCTATAGCTGCTCTTCTTTGCCGGACTCTGTATACACCGGAATCTGCAGGAGCCAGGAAGTAGCAGAACCTTCCCTGATGGTCGCCTACAACTCGCAGGACGTGTTTCTCTCCATCCCTCTGTCTAGTTCTGGAAGCGCTCGCAGTTTGTCTTCTGTTCCCCGTCCATCCGGCTCGCGGAGGAGTCGCTTGATGGCTGTGAACGTGAAACTAGGCCCGATTGCGGAGGCCGAGGAAAATGATGTCGTGCCTAATGCTCGCGAAGTTGATGCCGCGGATGCCCAGGACGAAAATGTGGAGGCCGAAGAGGTGGTGCAATCTTCTTCCATGGACCAGCCTATGGATTCACTCATCCTCGAGGAGTGTGTGGATTCAATAGTGCCCGATGCTGTGGTCCAGGGTTCCCCTTCGTCCCCCCAGTCTATCCTGCTGTCACCGGTGGACGCTAGCTCCCTCAATATCTCTCCTCTTCAACTCTGCTCCACTCCTCGTACGCGGCAGACTGGACTACGTTGCCCTTCCCCGCGGTTGTCTCCCATCTTCAAGTTACTGCCCAAGCAACCCGACGATCTCTTTGGTCCGAGCAGTCCGACGCTCAGCCCGGGAAGTCCTTCCCGCCAGCCCTCGCCATCGAGGCTGCCGGTATTGAAGTCCCGAATGTCGGCTTGCGAGATGAGAGTGTGAGGTGGCGTCTCCAGGCATGTGAAGTTGGTTGTCTCTCCAATGATTATCGATTTGTATTGTGTTACAGGATGTATTCTGAGTATGTCATGGCATTCAATGGCGTTTGCCTGCTACCTCAATGGATAACTGTGCGGGCAAGAACAGTACTAGTCAACTCTCGGCGTTAAAGGACGACTACAACTAACTTCTCCGGAGCCAAGAGGTTGCTTCTTCGCTCACAAGCTTCGGAGTACAGGATTCGAAGGAATTACGGCATGGCGGATCTGCATAATTCACCTCCAGATGAGGTGTCTGTGGCAAGATCTAGCCACCCCGACTTGAGCGCTTGAGCGTTTGCGGGTGCGATGCTTGTGTGCGCCGTTGGATAATACCAGTGTAGTCCAGTATGGACTACGCGTATTTACTGATCTACACTGCGCGGTGGGTAATAAAAGGCAGGCCATGTCCATCCACTTAATTTCCGTTGACCGTACTTTCTTCCAAAGCCATGCGCCACCCTTGACGGAATGACGGACAGAATCAGACAGACCTGTCCATGCGATGTTCGACCGTACATTCATCTCCTCAGACGCCAACATTGTTTGGACTCTGGACTATACAGTCACGGTACGCGACTTCATGTGCTTAGAGAGCGTAAGTAAAACAAGACGCTAATGCTCCTACATAGATTTATAAAATGGTTCTGAAACGCTTCTACTCAACTGCAGCTGGCAGCCTGGCAGTGACTGGACCTATTCGGGGATACATATCGTAGCCTCGTGTATCAGGCTTCGGACAAGGCCTCGGCCATGGTGCGCCATCACAATCGCCTTTTTGGGAACCAGACCGAGCCGAGCGGCTATTTCACCCGAGTGACACCAAAAGCGAGATTCCTTAGACTTGGGACTACGCCCCAAGACGCGAGACCAAGGGGTCTTGAAAACCTTATTTTGCCACCCCACCTGAACGCCCCCCCTGGGTACCCCACCTCGTCCCCCTTGACTTCAACGCTCGAGCATCGGTCTACATACAGTACACGTCACCGCCTACACTAGTATAATAAGGCCGTCCGCTACTCTGCTCGACACCCCGTCCTCGCTGTCTTCCCCGTCGACCACCATGCCCTTGCCGCTTCCGGCCGCGGTCCGGGTAGAAGTCTGGTAGCAAACCCCAACCCTAGGGTGTACCGCCACGGGTCAGGTGACAACGCCAGCGTCGGCGCCCGGCGTGTTGTCGCCGCCCGCTTTAGGCCTGTCGTCGTTGTCGCCGACGATGAGCATGGCTGTAGCATTTGTATGTAGTCGTAAAAATATGGAATAATTCTCATTAAATACACAAAATTCGTTTGATGGATTTGACATGTACGCGCCGCCAC